GGAAAGATGTTTTGTAATTTGATTATTTAGTAAAATAACAAATTCTTTCTGGATTGATGTTTTAAAAGCTTATATTGGTGTTTGTAGATAAACTTTGTATAAGATAATATAAGAGCAAGTATTACATATGCCCACTTTTTTAGCAATCACAACTTTTTAGCAGGAAATAGATATATTTACATTCAGACTTTATATAATAAAAGGAATCAGATTTGTTAAAAGATATTATAATATGAAACAGGGTAACTTTGTAGATTTGATATATTTAGAACAGGTCACAGGTAAAGCTGTGAACTTTTTACAGTATCATAGTTTAAAACAGGCAAAAAAATGTACATGCAAAAAAGTTAAATATTTCTATTAGTAACAAATTTGCTTAATGTTCAATATCCTATAATAAATTGTTATGTTAAACCTATTTTAACTATGAATAACAATAAGAAATATGTTTATGAAATTATAGCTAAAAATTCAGACATCCTACAAGTCAAGAAAGGTGGAACACATGTTTTAAAAGATAATAACATTAATTGGCAGTTTAATATATAGTTATGTTTTCAAATGTTCTAAAAGATTCATATATTCAGTGGTTCCAAAACAAGAATTATTCATAGAACTTTAGCTAGCAAACTCACTTTTGTTTAAAATGGAAAATTGTTGCATAATAAAATGTGTACTTTTTGTAAATGCTGTGAAGAAACACTTTTACATTTATTTTGGGAATGTCAGAGAAATTCAAAGCCATTTCAATACCTTAGAGAAACTTATACATAATTTTGACGATGTTCTTTGTTGTAAATCATTCATATTTAGGTTACAGAAAATTAAAGATTTTAAAATGATGACATATTGTTTCTTAGAATTGAAAGATAGTATTTTATTTGTCTAAGAGAAAACTCTTTTTAGCCTACATGTATTGGTTTTAAAAAAATAGTTTGAAATTAGCATGGAATATCTATAGAAATACACATGTTGACAGATGATGTAAAATAATAGATGGTCAATTATAAGATCCTTAATTGCTTAAACTTACACTTAATATGTTGAAACAAAAACTTTACCTCGTAACAGATTGTTTGTTTATTAATAAGTAGTAATTTTTATTGTGTAAAATATTTTTGGAAAATAGATGGGTTTATTGTATGCATGTTGTTTATATTTATATGCAAAATATATACTGTAGATGTATTTGACAATATTTACATGAAATAAATTATTTTGCAAACATGTATATTGTATATTAACAATGTAAGGTATGATGGAGGATGACCCCGACCCCCTCATACCTATTACGGTGGTAAATAAACGGGCGTTACCCAGATGGGGCCTCGAAAAAAAAAAAAAAAAAAAAAAAAAAAAAAAAAAAAAAAAAAAAAAAAAAAACATCATTGTGTAAATCAAAAGAACTACCTGTTATGCTGCTATTAAATTGGGAACCAACAATTATATTGTTAACAATGTGAACATCTACTGTTGCTATGTATATTTATTATGCAATGAAAGAAAGGGATAATTTCCTTTTTTTTTTTTTTTTTTTTTTTTGATGTATTATGACAGTATTGGATACAAAATTGGGTGACTGATGTACGATTAAACCTATATAAAAATGGATTTGGATACGTATGGGAGGCACAGGTTGCAGCCAATTCTAAATTATCTATATAGTGCAATATGAACAGTGTCTAAAAGACCAGTTTATGCAAAATTGGCAATTAAAGTGCCTAGAAAATGTAAAATTAAATCATTATGTCATGTTTAAGACTACCTTTAAAATTGAAAAATATATTTCTGCTATAGATATTAACAAGTATAGAAAGTGTTTTGCTAGTTTTAGAAGCTCTTCACATTGTTTAATGGTTGAAAAGGGTAGACATTTTAATATTGATAGAGAACATCGTGATTGTATGTATTGTGAATCAATGTTAGAGGACGAATATCATTTTCTTATTGTGTGTTCTTTATTTCTTACTATATACCATTGTATTATTATCAATATCCGAATGTTGAAAAGTTCTACTCTTTGATAACAACTGAAGACGAGTCATTGATACGTAATGTTGCTATGTATATTTATTATGCAATGAAAGAAAGGGATAATTTCCTTAAATGTTTTGAATAATTTATATTCAGATTGCACTTTATAATTGTATTAGAAATTCGTATTGCCAATTTGTATTGTATATTGTATGCACTGTGTATGGGCCGGAGGCCTTTTGTACAATAAAGATATTGAATTGAAATTGAAATTGAAATAATAAGACAAATTATATATAAAAACACTCAGCAATCTGATTAATACTCGTGGGCTACGCCCCATCGTGTGTTTCGATGCTCTTTGTATTATATAAAGTATGTAATTGTTCTTATATTGCTAAGGAGTGTACAGTTTTATAATCGCTAATTAATGCGGTCTATGCTGTTATGAATTATATAATTTTATCACATAATACGCGGCGCAGGAGTGTAATAAAGCCATTTAATAAAAACGATATTACACTAGTGTAATAACACTTTGACGTGACGTCATTTGCGCTGTATATAGAGAATAACATGCTACTGTCTTTTGATATCAATTTTATTAGGCGAGGCTGATATGGGCTAGAAAGGGCGAGGCTTGCCGAGCCCTTTCTGCCCATATCAGCCGAGCCTGATAAAATTGATATCAAAAGACAGTAGCATGTTTTTCTATTTATCATGTAACACATAATAACTGTCAAAATAACAAAATAATCTACTTTTAAATAGCGAATTTCGTTAAAAAGGGGAATTTTTGTTCAAAGAAATAATTCATGAAAACAAATTCCTCCGCCCCTGACACTTAGAATTTGTAATTGGCGGCCATTTTTTCTTTCGACTCGGATAAAAGATATAACAGAATGTAGGCCTAATACGATAACATTCTTACCTTTAATTTAAACATCGATCCAAAAATCCGCTTAGAATCACATAAACTAAACTTTACTGCATTTTTTGTCTTGAATTGTCAAATTCAAAAGTTCACGATAATTTCAATCAAAGAAAAGTCAAATCGGCAATCAAACACAAGCTACACAAACATGCGTCTTATTTTTAAACGAAACAATTTGTTCACTTATTAAATAATAATCCGGCGAAATAAAGTAAACATTTACAAGTTCTCAAAGAAAATCGTCAGCCTGTTTGTTATGATTACATGTATATTATGACGTGAACATCGATGATGTCATTTGCAATATAAATTATGACGTCATTTAGTTGGTGCTAAAACTATTCGCTATCTAATTTATTCGTAATTGAAATCGAAATAATAAATAAATAAATAAATTTCGCATATTGATTGCAGACTTGTAAGGTTATGAGATTACATTGTAGAATTCACATGCTGATGAAAATGCTCGAATATAAGCAATTGAAAAAAGTCCGTTAAAATGGGCGGGGCTAATTTTTGATATCAGGCTACTGACGTGATATCAAAAATAATTATCAGGCAAGTGTTATCGTGCAGTTACCATAGCAGTTGCATGATAAACATAGCGTTAAAGCGCGCTAATGTTAGCGTTACACTACAGGCGCGTCATTGAAAAGTTACTCATTTTAACAGTTTACTGTTCTTATTTTATATATGTGATAAATAGAATATTATATTCGTGTAGATTCAATACTAAATTTATTAAACTCGTTGAATAAAACAATATTATGCTCGCCAGAGGCTCGCATAATATGATTTTATTCAACTCGTTTAATAAATTTAGTATTAAACTACACTCATTCAATATCCTCTATTTATTTTGTAAATGTATTACGAATAAACATAGCTAAAGATACTTCAGCGAACAGGTTTTATAGTATAGCTAGACCTGTTCGCTGAAGGCAACCCCGTATCGAAAGTCAACAAGAACCGTGACATTTTTATGTAATGCTGTAATTCAATAAATGTGCGTGATCTTGACAAAGGCTATTTTAATACAGGTAGTTAGATATATTTGGGACCCTTCAGTCCAATTTTTTGAACACAGAATGTTAGATTGGTGAAATATCGCCTCAAAGTTATCAGCGGCTTCACATTTCATAAAATTCGCCGCCATGGCTGCCCTAATTATCACGTGACCAGCAAGAATTTAGGTTCGGATACCTGTGTATGACATTTGGAGACACGTGACCCAAATGTTATTTTTAATTGAAAACATGTCTTTGCAATTATGAATAACGGTGTATTTATTCAATAACAGACATTGTACCAAAAACATGTTGGATTTATATTGTTTTGAGTGATGATTCATGAATTATTTGTTTGTTTTTATATAAAATCATACACTTACTAAAAATAGTGTACGGTCCGTTACTAAAAATAGATGCTAGAATTTCCAAAACATGAAGTCCCGCGAGATCTCATTTGAAAGCAGACTCCATATTGGTAAACATTCTCTACATATTTCTCTAAAAAATAGTTGGGTACACAATGTCATTGAAGTTTCATTTAAAAATAAAACATGAATTGGTTCAAAATTGATTTGTTTATCAAATGGTATTTTTATTTGACCCAAATTTGATTAATAAGGGTGATTTAAATAGGTTTTTATGTACGACGCACGAACTGTCAAATTCTGGTAGCCTTTGCAAATAGGGTTGACCCATAACTTTACTGTCGCAACGTCAAAATAAAAGCGACATATAAAGTTATGGAAGCCAGAACTAGAATAAATACTAATTAACCTATACGTAACCTATAGAAGCGGTATAACAAAACGTAAATACTAGTATACAAATACCATCATCTTGTGATATTTTGAATAGCAAAAAAATAAACTGTTGCCTACTGAATAAATCTTCTAAATGATAAACGGTTTCAAACAACGCCATGTAAAAGTGTAATGTCAATACATACACAAAGAAGTACATTTACGTATACTATCCCCACCACCCCTGAAACTTATGTCACATTCATATCACGTAAAATGTCGGCTTCACTTTAAACAAAACAAAGATAACCACGTGAAAAATTGGCAAAACAATAACTTTACCTCTATGTGCTTCAAACTGATCTCTGCCCCAATTGCCACACACCATGCCACACGTAAATTGGAATAATGTGCACTAACAGTCAGGTTTGTTACTTGGAAGTTCTCCTCAATATTGGTTGGTATAGTTTGTTTATTAGAATGGATTGGTATATTAGTATCGTTTAATTTGCATTTAAAATCGCCCATAGGATCTCTCACCCACCCTTCTTTACATTTTTCAGCACAAGAACAATCTGATAAGGAAACAAATGGAGAATTATATTTTATATTAGCCCCCAATACACTTCCATATTCAACCAGAAATATGCTCTATTTCTTTTTGGTGTTCTTTTTTATGTTGTTGTTGGTGTTGTTGTTGTTTTGATTTTGGCTTTCTACTTTTTTCTGAAAATACTAAATTTGTATGACTTGTAAATATACGATTCTTTATTTCTAAAATTTCTAAAACCAAATCGGCATATATGTTAGATGTTACACAAGTTTTGAGATATTCTTTCAGCTGTGGTGTGCAAGCACCATTTAAGAGGATAATGGTCATTAAATAGCATAATTGTATTCACATCTTATTTTCAGTATATTCAGCTTTTGTGTCATACCTGATAATCTATCCATTCTAGCAGGACATAGCTTGTTCAGCCGTAAGGTGCAGGGATCTGTCTCGTTTGTCAATATAAACAATTTATGTTTGTAGGGATTACAGTATCTGTATACTATAGCTGCATTTTCCTCTGTAGCCTTTTTAAAGATCTTTATCCGTGCATCCCAGACTTTGCACACAGAAACCATTGTTAACCTGGTCCCTTTTGGACACATCATATCAACACTCGTTTCGTTCCAAGAGCCTTAAATGAAAATTGGTCACCATTGTTCAAAACATTTATAAATTGTCAGTAAATAATAAAATGATTTTGCTGATAAATCAACAATTTATAGAATGTAATGATATCAAGTAGTTTGTATATGTATTTGACAGTAGGACCCTTTCATGTTTTCTTTAATTGTAATTCTCTCTCGTTGGGTTGAATTCGCCCCATTCGTTTTCAACACATAAGAAGAATAATCTTTAATTTTATCCCCAGGAAGACCAACATAAAGGTGGTGTCGGGAGCGTGGAGCCCCTATTATTACAAATGACATTGATTCAGTTTCTTTTCTCTTTATACTACAATAAGGTATAATTCCGTTACAGAGTGCATGTCTCTAGCTTGAGACATAAAGTCTGTATCAGAAATGTACTTACCAGCATCAGTTCTTTGATAATTATTATTTATCTTGAATTGTGCTGCATTCATTATGATGTATTGTCCAATGAACGCTCCAAAAAAGGGTTGAAGTACTTTTGCAAACATACCTGAAATTCTGAAAGTAAAGAAGAGGATGAAATATATATTTTATTACCATTATATACTGTAGAAGGTGATGCTCGTTGATTAATTAAACTTCTTTGAAACAAAATTTATACCTGTAATTAAATTGTCTGAACTGTTGATGAAGAACAGTCAAAACGAAAGTGTGGCAGAGGTTTTTTTAAATAAAAATTAATGAATTTTACTTTCTCGTATTCATTAAGGCAATTGTGGTTGACGGATAAAACGTTACCCTTTATGATGATATCCAGTTAATTAACAAAAAGAAAAGCTTAAGTTTATAAGTTTAATATCCTCCGTGCGAATCTGGGTTTTCCAATTTGTTATATGACACAAGAAATCAATTTCTATCCACCAGGGTAATGCCAAGCTTGACTACGATTGAAAAGAGGTAAAATGGGTTTATATTGTACTATGTATTTTAATACTAACCGAATGAATCAATCAAAGCATTGTTGCAAATCTGATTCTATATTTAGAATATTACAGGCATTAAATCAGAACACCTTGATGATTATTCAGAATAAATTCTTGATCAAAAAGGAAAGTTGCAACTAATCTTTTAAATAATTCATAATTATCTGCCGAAATTGGTTGAAAAGTTGCGATTACTGATATTATCGTGAAAATACACAAACAGACTAAACTCACTGAACCGACTCAAACTAAGCGGCATTTAAACGAACAGAACAAAATCAAAAGTAGCCGAAAAAATCAAAAGTAACCCAATTAAATCAAAACTAACCGAACAAAATCAAAACTAACCAAAAAAATTACTGGAACGACTCAAAACTGAATAGACTTAACACTTATCGACCGTATTTAATCTAACTAAAACAGACTTAAATTTTACTATTTCATGTGTAAATGTTGAATTCTGCTTAAGCCGGTGCTAGGGGGCGTGGACGGTAACTTGCACTATCCAGTACCGTCCATGAACAGGCTCAATCAACCCGAGCCTGCAACATTTTCAATTTTGTCGTGTTGACCTTTCTTTAGGGATTCTGTATTTATCTATTTTAACACTGAACGCACATACTACTAGCCGTACATTTTTCCTGTTTTCATTGCTCCCATAGAATCTATTAACAACTTATTACTTAAAAATTTACATTGGTAAATTGTGCATGTAATATAATTTTATGTGAAACGCGAAAAGTAAACGATATCTTACCTGATCTATTAAATTACAACGATCAGACTATTTTAGTCTGTTTAAGGTATAATTAATTATTGAAAAAATATGCTGGTATATGCCATAGTGGGCTTTTATAATCACTCCATATTAACAGTATCAAACCAATTTTGAAGGGTTTTTTTATTGTCTTTGAGTACCGCTCAAGCCGGTAAGGGGCGATGTTACACTTTTCCATTATTCCTCATGTACAGACTCACTCAAACATGGTATGCAATTTTCATATAATTTTGCTGTTTTTAATGCTTTCGATGGATATCTTTTTTCCAGATATTTATACATCACAACAGCAGGTGTCAAGTGCCGTGTGGCAGCCCGTACTTCACTTCAGTGGTTTTAAATTTTCTGGCCCTTCGGAACCATTACTTCCAGCACTTTAAAGTTTTAAGCAGAATTCAACATTTAAACATGAAATGATAAAATTTTGAATTTAGAAACATCCGCAGATGTGTTCATACGACGGTTATCATGGAATCTTCAATGTGACACAGTAGTGCCAGGGCGCATCAGTGACTAATCGTTCGAAACTGTCAATTATTGAATACATGTATCATAAAATTATCCTTTAATTAACTGATATGATCATTTCATTGTTTATTTGATGTAATCATGACATTTGTTAAGATTTCATTTGACAGGGATATCTTATATTTAATTTCAGACGAATGTGTGCCCTACAAATAAGCTTTAATGCCCTTTAAATTAGTAGCATATTAGATATCAATAATACCTACTAGTTTTGCTTCAGTAGTTTTCTTTTCCATTTTTTTGTTCTTGGATTATTTTGTATTTGTACCTTACCCTCCCGCCCATTTAAAGTATTCAATTTTTAAGCGGTGCCTACAGTGTAACATCCCATGGTGTCAACGTTACGACTGGGATATTTATACAGTGTTTTCTATTGTTCTTGAGCCGTTTAATGCAAATCATTTTTGAGGCAAGTTTTGGTTATTTTTGCCCATCTTCACCTTCTTCTACAAGAAAGAACAGCGTTAAAAATCGCCCATACCCACTTATAGCTGGATGCATACAAAATAAAGAAGAAGGAAAAATCACGAAAGGGACACTGCTAAATAACTTACGATGTGCAAGTGAAAAAGTCAAGGGGCGGACGTGGACGTATGAAAAAAGATGGATAAAAGAAACAATAATAACAAACAAGAATAAGAAACTTTTTTATTTTTAATTTTGATGAATAATGTGAATTTATATTTATATATTTTCATTTATTGAAAGGAATGATTTTTGTCAAATATATTTGAATTTCGATCCTTACATCCTTGCATAAATAAAAAAAAATTCATTGCAAACACTTTTTATACAACTGAACTTCAACCTTCTTTTAACACTCATACACCAATAATACCAGTATTTCTGTATTTTTTGTTCTTTTATTTTTCCATACATCTACTTTCACGTATGTTAATGAAATATTCATGATGATTATCTGTAAATGATTTAGTCAAATGCAAATGTATTATTGTTGTTGTTGTTGATGATGATGATATATGATCTCCATTCATGCCCGATGTAAAAGTGTATATGATTTATTAACTTATAAGCTATATATATGTATAGTGTTTTAATATTTTATTTATATAATTGCATCACATACATGTGAAATTATATACAAATGATATAACAAAACAAGTTTTCACCTCATTAACATATGGGCATGCCATATAAACTATATAATAAGTATGATACTTTTAGGCTGTAATGCAAAATGTATAAAATATGAAAAACAAGATCAACAAGGAAAGGCGGCGTTCAATGAACTATATATTACTAACATTCAATAATAAACACACTGATGTAATTATGTAAAGAAACCCTGTCATCATGCAGTTATATTTATTTTCTCAGGCACTTGACCGCTCACCTGAACTACGTTATATCACACTACCATATGCCAGAATATTATTATTATCATTAAATAGCATTTTAACTATGTTTGTAGTGTTGTTGCTAGGATCAAAATATTAAATGTATTTAACCTATGTTTTGTCAGTAATTTTAATATGTGCTAGCATTTCTAAAGCGATCATCAAATCACTATAAATGTATAATTTTCATTTCTTTGGGGTTTTTTTAATTCATTTAATCTTTATATATTTCTTATAACATTAATGCTAAAAAGTGATACAAGTCAATCCAAAGCAATGTTTTCTACACAAATACTACTGTGTCTGGTACAGGTTGACATTTTTACTCTACATGAAGTATTGTTTACCAAAACTCGACTTTCTCTCAAAGTGTAACATATACATGTATAATAATTTTATGAGACATATTCCAAATCTGACGTGACAAAAATGACTGTCAAATACAGTGTAGGATTTTACAGAACAATTACCCATTCCATTCATTCACAGCTACATTATTCTGTTTTAATTTTGGTCATTCTCACCTAATCTATCTTATTTATACACAATATCTTTGTGTTTCCACCACCAGAAAGAGTTGATATCTTCTTAAAATGGAGATAAAACTGAAAATGGTAAGTTTAAAATTGGGAACGATAGGGTGAACATTCAATAACGTAAAATGAAAAAAAAACAATAGTATCTTTTGCTTCATAATGCCAAATATAATGTTTAAAAATAAACAAACTAAATAAAACGCACACACAAAAAAACACCAGAATAGGTGATATTTTAACTAAAGAATTTAAGTTTGTTCAAAATATAAGTGTCATTAAATGAAATGATTTATATTCAGTATATAATACCCAAACAACTTGTCTTTGCTGTTAATCAGTGTCTTTTATTAGGCAAATTACGAGTATCTAAAGAAACATATAAATGATTTAAAACAAAATAAAAATTAATGAAAATAAACACATTTATAACAATGAAGTTTCTAAATATCATTATTAATATATTTCATTCAAAAGAAAGAAAATGTTTTTTCTTAGATTAATTAAAACTGACAATAAAATGTCCAGTATGATTACAATATAAACATAAAAACTTAAAAAGACACGTGTTCAATCATGTCTAATTAACTAACTGTAGTTTTGTCAATTTTGATAATCTTTTTGCGACCATTTAACAACTTAATTTACTTATTTTATGCCTGGAATTGAGGTTCCTAGATTTCAGTTGGTAATTTTATAATGAAAAATAAAAATTCTTCTTATATTCAGTTATTCTCTGTAAATTTTACAGGAAGCCAAACTGGTTTTAGACAGCCTTCGTCAGGAAAAAGCCTAAGAGTAATAAAAACTTTTTTGAGGCAAAAAGGGCCGTTCAAAAGCATATATCTCAGACATTTAATTTACTTATGGAGTAAGGTATGCATATGTATAAAAAGATTAAATGAGGAAATACAAAATGAAAACAATGACTGATAGTTACAAGAAAACAATTGGAATGTCAATCCAAAGTGTTTGTAAAAGGGATGCGGGGTCAGTTAGCAGGGGTCACACTTTCGAAAAAAAATCCAAGACGGATTCGTATATTTTAAGATGATGAATTGGTGTGAACAACATAAATGTAAGCAAACAATATTAAACTAAACTAATTCTTTTTCGGCAAAGGATATAATCATAAACTTCCCTGAAACATGAAAATATCTACATCATCGCTGCATTTTTTTATATTTCAATATATATTTATATATATGTGCAATTCTAAGTATTTCTTTATTATTGAAGATATTGCTTCTACATCTGTGATCTCAACAAACCGGTGTTGATTATATTTCCCAGTTACCGGGACAATATCTGTCACATTTCCCAGTTACCGGGACAATATGTGTCACATTTCCCAGTTACCGGGACAATATCTGTCACATTTCCCAGTTACCGGGACAATATGTGTCACATTTCCCAGTTACCGGGACAATATGTGTCACATTTCCAGTTACCGGGACAATATGTGTCACATTTCCCAGTTACCGGGACAATATCTGTCACATTTCCCAGTTACCGGGACAATATGTGTCACATTTCCCAGTTACCGGGACAATATCTGTCACATTTCCCAGTTACCGGGACAATATCTGTCACATTTCCCAGTTACCGGGACAATATCTGTCACATTTCCCAGTTACCGGGACAATATCTGTCACATTTCCCAGTTACCGGGAAAATATCAGGAAGTGTCCATACGTCACATTAACGTGTACCCGTTCTATTCACCATCACTGGAGTTCTGTAATATAAATTGAATTACATGCAAAAATAAATATAGTAATAGATCACTTACATTTATGTTGCATAATTCTGATTAATAAAACACATTTAGACCAACAAAACAAGGCGACATTCACATCTAAAACTTACACATTTAGATGATGAAAGTGATAAACTGAGGAAAACTCATTCACTAACTCCACATAATATTTGTAATATACGTGCATGACAAATGTGCTTCGACGAAATAATAGTTGATTTCCTTGGTGCACGATCACAAGAATGCAAGAAACTGCGGACTGTGAGAATGACACAGTCGTAACATTTGCCTATATTGCGTACGTAATGATAAAATATACAACATAAAATGTAAAATTCATGGTATACTAGTAGTGAGCTGTTTCTTATTATAATAAACACTATGTATACTGTTATACAAATATACTATTATATATCTTACTGAAAGACTAATCACTGACGCTTCTGAGGTTGTTTCTGAAGTAGATCGTGTGTGATGTCCGGGGATAAGATTTTCCAACACTCTGTTTACGTTGACATTAGATCCAGTAACGTTTGTATTTATATCTCGGATGGAGAATCGGTTTATAATGCGGGTAAAAGATCGTCCTGAAATAATAAGAAGCGGATTTTTTCAAATAGTTTGATATTTTCACACTGAAACGTTTCTTTAAAATACATCAATATTTAATATGAATAAAATTCAATTTACCTGCAGATGATTTTAGGAGTATAGCAATTACTGCCACGACGCCAACTGCAACTAAGATAACAGCAATACCGATTGCATACACAACTGAAATAAAAGATGTAATTGTTGTATATCTAATAGTTGTAAAAGTGATAATTTAACAAATTGTGTTTGAGCACTTTGTGATCACGATGGGCGTAGCCGTTTTGCCCGTGCATGCGTTAATAATGAATTGTCTGTAAAGGTTTTTATCAATTTTATTTATATCCTACATTTACTGAACTTATTCTAAATATTATATGTAACTAATATCGGTATGTAAGGTTTTAAGGAAGGGCCGTTAGATTACTTTAATAAAGTTATTGATAACACACTAGCTATCTCTATGCTTACCAGTTGCTACTGATCGTACACTATGGTCTATCTCATCTCTTAAATCTCTTGGTGCTGCAACACACGAACAAGTACAATACATGATGATAATTATATAGAAATTACTTGTTTGTTTATGTCATCTCAACAACATTATCATTTTATTATATGTTTAATTACGAGTTAAAATAATATTTTTCAATATTATCTTGAGTTTGTATTTCTCTCTTCCTACTGGTAGCTTTACATTTTCAATCGACTTTTTAATAATGCATGACAGGAAGAGCTAAAAAGGTTAACTTAAACAGAAATCATCAAATAGTGTTTGTAAACAATTCTAAAATATAGTCTGTCATATTCACAAAGACTGGGAAATATAATTTTAATAAGTTAATCTGAAGGATATGATTTGCAAGCATTTTGATTACATCTAAACATAAATCTTCCAAAGAGAATTTCATAAGTTGTGATGCTTTTGTAGCAACCTTGTAAACTTCTGTACGGTTTTTAGCTAGATAAGGAGCATCTGTCAGAAGTAACCTTTCACACGTGTAGCTTCACGTGTATTTCAGTTATGAAGGGTGCGCATGGACAGATTAAACATGGAGTTGGGAAGGACAGTACTCCATTGTACAAATTCCTTAGAATTACCAATGAAACAATGTCGCTGAAGAGGCATATGAGTAACGGTTAACTCCCTCGACAGCAACAGGGGTTGTTTGGCTGATAGCCAATTGAGGGAGTCACTGTTGTGGATCACAATGGTTTTATGCATTCTATCGTCCATGGGAAGACGCATGCGGATGAACTGGTGCTGAACGTAAAGCTTATCCTGCTTGCAAACCATGTGATCATGAGGTTGTCGACAACGGCAAGCAGTGGTAAGGCCCGTCTCACCTATACCTACCACTCAGGGGGTGTCATGATCATTCATAAAAGTCTCAACTTTACGAAATGATCAATTGAAAGTCCCTATAAAATATATGTGGTGATGGACACCAACAGTTACAGAAACTCGCTGTCAATGTCCAAGTGCTTCTCTTTTTAAAAGGGGACAAGTAATTTGCTATAACATGCTGCAACTTAATCGGGGGATCCGTCAAGATTTTTGTGAGCTTAGTGGGTGGTCATACTTCTAAAAAAACTCATCAAGGTGCTTATGGCAATTAGTGATTACCACATCCAACCTTTGTGCCCTTTCGAGTACTTGTACTTTGGTGATGTCTGTCCAAGGTACATGGATGAGATGAATATCCTAATGTCTGATTAGGGATCAGTTGAAAATCAAGATAAACGTTTGTTGGCTTCTTCTGAAAGAATATGTGCTGAATATTTGACAATTTTAGTGGTCGTCAAAGAAAATAAATGTAAAAAATGTCTATGAAGAGTGAAAAAACAAAAGAAGTATAGATACGAGAACATGTATGCATAAGGTAAACCTTACTTTCAATCGTGCTTATTGTTGGTGTTGAAAACACATCTTTAACTTTGCCTTTAACCATAACTGTGTATGTTTGTTCTCCTTGAAGACCATTAAGCTTGTAGTAGATACGTTCACCGCTAGCCGACCGGGACACATTTATTTCCTTTCCATTATCATCACTTGAATTGTAACTAAGAAGCCACCCTTCTACATGACTTTTACTATCGTATTTTGACCAGGATACCTCGTAATTATGGGCAGTGTAAGCAAGTGTTTCTATCCTGATCTCTGCTGGAGGCAAAGGGGCTATACAACAAATATAAAAAATATAAGTTAAAATATGAAAAACTAGATCAACAAGGAAGGGCAGCGTTCAATGAACGCAACCCCTACACGACTCAGCAATACAGGACCACCGGCAAGGAGCCAGCAGGACACCAAACTATTAAAGCAGGACAGACGGGGCGCAAGGCAAAGCACGCACGGGGTGATTATTTTATTAATACATACTAGTAATAGGAAATAATTGATTCTGTGTCATCAATGTACGTAAATCATTTTAGTATATGAGTATTTATATGTAGCAAAATTTTGCTTAAGTCTATATAAATGTTTTTCTTTTGTCTCAAAAACTATTTTTTTTAAACAGATATTAAAAAGTTTAAGAAACTTACGAATTATTTGATTACACGTTGTCTTTTCACTCAAAGATGTGTTGCTTACAGCATAGACACGAAACTCGTACTCTTCTCCAGGAAATAACCTTTCAAAAGATCTGTTGTTAAAGGTTGTCATTACTTGATTCCATGATGTCTTCGGGTTCCGTGCAACCATTTTGTACTCGATCTTGAACTGTCCGTGAACGCTGTTGATGGGTTCATCCCAAAATAAAGTGACATTACGGCCATGCAATTCCGACTTCAAATTCAGTATTGGCAGAGGGTCTAAAATATACGCAATATAAGTCGGTATTAATTGTCATTAAGATACATTTTTCAAGATCTAGTTTCACTCTATAAAGAAACTCCAAAGAGGTTAAAAGTTTTAAAATATAAAAATTGAATTTCTTACATAGATCAATTGGAAAATGAATCCAAATGCCATGCTGTAGACAATAAAGAAATATTACAGTCAAGTTAAATAATTATTTTGGAGAACAAAAATGTGAGCCAATGGTCCAGGGACTTGTCTTATCAACGATCGTACAATAAAATTCCCAAAATACAACGATTGTTTATAAGACGAAGCCCTGTAATTATGCACACTAGTCATTGGTCTAGACCTACATGGAATGGTATACGAATGTCGGAAAATATATTTTCAGTCCGTTGGTGTTCAAAACATAAAAAAAACCTCTATGGGGCACCATTAAATGACAATTATGTACGGATGTAAGTCAATACATTAAAATTGATAAAATCATAGTTAGGAAAAACGTTTAAATGTTTGTGAAAGGTTTTCAAATCTGGCAATTTTGTAAGCAAAATGCCTGTATATCCATAACTTATAGGAACTATAGTCCGTGTTCTTGCAGACAAATTTGTAACTTTGTGTATGCTATAAAACTTACTTGTTGCAGTGTAGACATCCACAAACTTGGTTTCCGATTCGTTATCGGAATTATAATAGAAAGTAGCTTGTATATAGTAAAGTTGTCCCGGAATAAGACCGTCAATGTCTATGCTTGGGTCACTAGCTCCAGATATTGGCGACATTTTTTTCATTCTAGCTGCTTTCACTGCTTTGTATCCAATCTACAGTATGAATTATTTATAAACAGAAAAATGGACAGATAGAATAAACAATTGATATATGTAGCTCAAGAGTAAAATAAACATGTGTTTCTACATTTCGATGACACTTGCTGCAAAGAATAAATGTTTTCTGCAAGTGTTTTTGTAGGTTCCAATGACGGGATAACAGGTGCTTGACGTGAAGTGTTATGTCCACTCCAGGTTTTGGTTTGGTGCCTTCTGGGTGCCCTACTTGGGTGTGTCGGGGTCTGCGTCCTGTGAACGTTGCCTTTGCATTGTTGATCTTTATTCTTGTCTTTCATGGACATAGACATGTAGTTATTGGTGCAAATAATATAAGTATAAAATGACGGGTAAAAAGATGTAAAAACAAAACAATAAATAGAATACTTAAACTTGTTAAAAGCACTAGAAATAGGTATGTGGTCATTTTGAAAGTAATTTATTCGATTACCTCTATGAAATTAACCACTGTATGTGAATTTTCAGGAAATGTCCATGAGACTTGAAGTTTTTTCGTGGATGATTTCACAATCAGTTGTGGGGTAAATTTCGTTTCTTGTGGTGACGACGGTTCACATTTGAAATCATTTGTAGCATTTCTTACAGAACCTTCCTGGCATTTGTCTTCACACGAACAGTCTGAAAAGGGTGGAAAAGACAAGTTATTTGTGTGTCGCAAAAAGAAAATAAATTGTTTTCTCCAAAAATATGGTTTTATACATTTTTGTTGTGTTTGTGGTACTTTTAACTTCTACTTTTTGGCATTTTTCTAGTTGGGTGGTTCCAGTATTCCTTCTTGAATAATGTTGATTCACCCTTAGGATATGTTGCCTGCTTTTTGAATTTGTCTTTTGGTGTCATATCTGTGATCTGCAGGCTTCATAACCTCTGACCCCCTTTCAAAATTTTATTAAGTTCCGCCTATTGTTTTCTCGTTTAGGGCACACGCTTTTTATTACTTGGGGACCATACGCCGCTTTTCATGGAATGGCACGAAAGTGTCACATTTAAGGTTCCATGATAACCGCCGTATGAACACATCTGTGGATGTCTCTAAATTCAAAATTTTACTATTTCACGTTTAAATGTTGAATTCTGCTTAAGCCGGTGATAGGGGGCGTGGACGGTAACTTGCACTTTTCATTACCGTCCATGAACAGGCTCAATCAAACCGAGCCTGCAACATTTTCAATTTTGTCTTGGTGGGCTTTCTTAAGGGATTCTTTATTTCTCTCTATTTTAGGCATAATTTAGGATAAAACCCAGGTAAATGTTGATAAGCGGCCATCAAAAAGTGAAATACTCAATTTCCATTAAAATAATAATAATAATAATAAATAAATGAAAAAATATTTATCACATTATCCTACTTAAATTATTGGCTTAATAAGTGTCTATTGGCGGACAAAAAGACTAAGAATTCTAAGTAAAAGTCAGGTTCATCAAACTCTGGTGAAATGCCGTGAAGTTTCGGTGACATTTTTGTCGTTATATAGATCGCCCGAGCGTAGCACTTTGTTAGAATATGGTAAAATATACAGTTAAATGACTCACCTGACAATCTGTCTTGTCCTGATGGACATCTGATGTCAAAGTTGGAGGAACATCCATCATCTACTTCACTAAATTCAAACAGTTTAGGTTTGTTAGGATTACACTTCCCATAGTTGTAGTTGCAATAAACGACAGCTGCAGACGTGGGTGTACTTTTCTTATGTATGAGTATATTGTTGTTTTTGGAACAATGATTAAAACATGATCCTGGATTGGTAGCATGGTAATAACCGTCGGCACATTTTTTCTTACAAAGTCTGTACATGTTTTGTCCATTCATGATGCGATAAACAACAAATCGGGAAACTGTAAAAAAGGAATAAAGATGCCAACAAAAATGAGCAGCATTATGATGCTGATGAGAGGATTGGAGAAAGAATATAAAGTAGAATTTAGCAGTATACTAAATGGAATAACTAGTAATGGTTATAATATTATAACAGAAATGACAAAATCTAATATATAATGCTTATATACCGGAAAACATGCAGATCTAGTGTCTGTTCATTAATGACGAATATCTGCTTTTTTGTTTTTAATATGTATAACATGTTAGCACCAATCAATAATGAACAAATATGTCTTTTATCGCAAAGAAACTTACGAAGCACTGAAAGTACAAACATGAAACGACCAAGAATAAGATCAAGAATAAGGAAACATTATTGACGTATGAAAAATGTAAATGTGTCTAGGTACTTACATGGTTCACATTGTAATCCTATTGGTACACAAATTAGAATAGCTTGGTTGTAAGCGGGTGGTTCTATATTCTGTACACATTGAGGCAACGTGCCATTTAGACAAAGCCTATGCAACTCACAGTAATCCTCTCTAATTTCTCGTTGAAACTTCACATCATTACAGAAGTCTAGTATTTGAAATGGGCAGGTATCTGATAGATTTACGACGGGATAAAGATCATATCCTAGATCACAATTTAAATCATCATTATCATTTACATCACTGAAATATATTTGTCGACATGTCAGCACTCCAGGAGCAAAAACAAGCAACACAACGACAACAGTTCCAAAAATACGAGTCATTGCTTTGCCTCCGATACCTGAAAACAGAAATAGTGAGAACAACCAATAGAGAGTGCAAATGCTACATAGAAAACACAAATGCTACATAGAAAAACGTAAATGTTACATAGAAAACACAAATTCTACATAGAGAACACAAATGCTACATAGAAAACACAAATGCTACATAGAAAACACAAATTCTACATAGAAAAACACAAATGCTACATAGAAAACACAAATTCTACAAAGAGAACATAAATGCTACATAGAAAACACTAATTCTACATAGAAAACACAATGCTACATAGAAAACACAAATTCTACATAGAAAAACATAAATGCTACATAGAAAACACAAATGCGACATAGAAAACACAAATGCGACATAGAGAACACAAATGCTACATAGAGAACACAAATGCTACATAGAAAACACAAATTCCACATAGAGAACAGTTATATGGTACAGACAGTTTAGTTTCAAAATATCAATTTTAGCGACGCTAAAGATTTTTGAGGCCACGCTAACAAGTATTGTTGTGATAAAAGGACACAGGCGAAATTAAAGCAACAATCCACAGCAGATATAATCATCAGTTTGTTTAGATGTTTTGTACCAATATTTCCTGGCAGGTTTAAATTTGTCTTTCTCGACAATTGATAGATTTTATATTTTAAACTAGTCTATCTTTGAGTGGATATATTTAACCAGTCTTCCTCGACTCTTTTAAGACCACCATTATAATTAGGAAATTAAGCATAGCAACGAAGAAGATCACAAATAAAAAGCAAGTAATTTAGCTTTTTTTAAGGCGACGAAAAATGAAATAAGAGGTTTTTTCTGAAACATAATACAATATATAGGGCAAGCTTAATTATTAAACCTCAAACTCCCTATGTAAAGGTAGAAATGGCCATTTTCACGTGAGTTCTCTAAGTATATAGAAAAAGTTTTCCACAGAAATCGGTAACTTTTTCCAGGAACTCCGTGACAGTTATCATAAGAACTCCAAACAAGTTATTATAAGAACTCCATCCCTGTGTAAAACAGTTCCTCCCACGTGTATATGGTGTGCGAAAAACAAGAGTATGATGGTGGCAGTATACAATCGGAACATGCTCGGCTATAATCATTAATAACCTCAGAGTTTATACGGATTGAAAGTAGTTCTGCCACGTGCTTTCTTATCTTCGATAATGTAAAACAAATGTATATATTTTTTTCGGTACAGTTATGATTGAATATATGTCTGACAACCATTTTTAATTTAGATTTGGTCTTTGATGTACAATTTTAAACAAATATGACTTAAAATGTCAACAGGTTGGTATTTCGTACTTTCGGTTTCTACAACCGTAATAAGAAGTATATAAATAATGTATTGTATCTATGAATTTACTTACTTTAGGTGGACTTTTACTTGATATACCGTATTGGGGGGGAAAACCCTTTTCAACAACTCCCAGGATTAATTACTATTTGTTTTCATGTTTAGTTTCTTAGCGTAGGTTAGGCCGAAATACCGTATCCGTTCTATGTATTCATACTATTGTGCTCTAGGTCTTATCCGAAGACTGACAGTTGAAAAGTTGCGATTGAGTACAATGGTGACACGTTGGTCGCATGGTCACAGTGCGACAGTACGTGGTGACAATACGAAATTACAATGGACTGTCACCATCGTACTGTCGTGCTTCGCCGTCGTACTGTCGTATTGTCACCATCATACTGTTGCGCTTTTCAAAGAATTGTCGGACTGGCACTATCGTACTTCGCGCTTTTCATTCTCAGAAAAAAACGCGCTGGTCCCAACGGGACACCGTAAGACCATGTATATATGTACAACGAGTTTAACAAATTTTACACATGTCTTTGTTTGTCAATTAGTGCAATGAAACATTAACATGTTAACCTTATTCATGTACATACTTTTGAGAAATAATTATTTACCATAAGCGTCCACAGGAACATAAATTATCCTGCTTAATTAACCACTATCTATTGTAATGACGTATACACTATATATGTTGGGTTTTTCCAAATGTTACACCGATCGGGTAAACAGCCAAAATGGAAAACCAATATAATATGTGGTCCATAATATGTACAATGCAAAAAGTTATCGGTCCGTTGCAGATATACAGTACGGTATTCAGGGGAAGATCATTCTTAGAGGGGCGGGGCTTTACTTGTTGTAATCGCACTAATCTGTCTAAACAAAGGTGGCTATGTAGTAAGAAGAGCAAAACTTTATTAATGATATTTTGTACATTAAAGGATAACGTGCAAGGTTTGGGGACCGAGGCTTTAGTGTAAACTGTGTCTCATTATGCATGCATTGTATACTTAGATGCGAATGTACCTTTTTTATTGTAATTAGTTCTATTAAAACGAAATTAAAGTTTAAAATTAATCACGACCAAATAATCTAATTTCTTATTATATAGAAATTGCTGTGGCAAGTCCATTTCGTAGAAGTAACCGGTTCTGAAGTCATATCAGGAAACAGGGATGAAACCATTGTAGAGCTCCAACCTGCGATACCTTGGGTGCGTGACAGGCATAATGCATTGTGTACGCCAGCCTGTCGTGAAAACATACCTCGAATCGTCTTTTTTTCGCTTTACATATTTACTAACAAAAATCAGATGGCGTTCAAATTCGTGAATCGTTCCATTTTATAAAGATGAGTTCCCTATAACTTTACATAAGTGTATTTGTGTATTATTGTGTATCACTGTGAACTTTTATGTTTTATATAAATAATTAAATATTGTTGTAATATAAGAAGCTACTAACATGCTAAAATGAATTTTTGTGTGTTTATTTGTTATTAATTCTTCTAAACAGTTTAAGAATTTCAATTCAATAGATCAAATATATTTTACGCAAACAAAGAAAATCCACGGATTTTTGGATAACCCCTTGTACATTCAATAAAATATAAGTTTCAAAATAAAATATAACAAATCTTTTTATTACCACAACTGATTTATGATTTGGCAGTGCGATATTTTCTTACTTTAGGCCTTGAATGATATCGGGTTACTCATGAATTGTCATTGTATATTGTATACAATGTACATGTAATAACAAATATTGATTGAGGTAATAATGGTCCGAGGTGTCTTACTTTAGGCATTGAATGATATCCGGTTACTCTTGTCATTATATTATATTGTATACATGTAATAACAAATATTGATTGAGGTAATATTGGTCCGAGATGTACGAGACAAGAGCTTCACAATTATTTCCCTTGGCATCTGGTTAATATTTAATTGATTTTGATAAACTAACTTTAAATTTACAAGTACATCACTATATCAACAATAGACGGGGCATCAAATGTTTTATAAAGTTATTCATCTAAATCTCAGGATGCGGGTGGTTCTATATGTAATAGAAAGAGCATCGAAACACGAGGCTACTTGGTTTGTACAATGGACGTAGCCGCCGAGAATAAATAAGATTGCATGCCAAGTGAGTTGATGTTCTTTCTCTTTTGTATCATAAGCAAATATAAAAACACGTTCACAATATTAGACCCCAGAAAAAAGTAACCAATGGTTAGGGTTATACTCTCAGACTGTATAATATAATAGAAGATCATTAAAAAAAATATTTCATCAATGTTCAAGACTTAAACAAATGTACAAGATCCGATCAGTTATTACAATAGCCGTCAACTAGACAGCTAGAACACTAACTGGAGGACACAAAAAATAAACACACATGTTTTGATTCAACCTTTTATTTTCTTTCACTTGAAAGACTGGAGTAGGTTTTAAATATAAACAAATCTTTATACCCCGTTTTATACAAGCAATTTACATAATAATAATTATATTACATGTGAGGTGAATATGAGAAATGTGAGAACAAGCTTAGGAGGAACAAGTTTACAGAAGTTCAGTATGACGAGAAAAAATCAACAGAAATACGAGGAGATACACATCAAGCTGTTTTACTCCTCATTTCTTTAGTGTGTTTTTTTATTCAAGCGAATGTTGTGGGTATCTTAAATAGACTTGTTACATCAATATCACCTATCAAACATTAGATAATAGTGTACATGTGTTTCAACAACATAACAATTATATGTTGTTTTTATCAAAGTAAACACCCTAAAAGAGTTGATGCACACATAACTTTAGCTAACCCCACTTCTCATTGGAGTTCATTAATCTAATTGAAGATGTTAGTGAAGTAGAGAAAAGGACTGTTTTGCATTGTCGATTTATTTTGTTTAAAGAAAAGTACTGGACTGGCACAATAACACATTTTTTATGAAAACTTCAACATGCTACGTGAAGAAGTGAGGTTGTTATGGTAACATAGAAGACATGTATATAATAGATGTAGAGAGGCTCTAGAGTTGTTAGACAAAAACAGATCAGATATATACAAAATGTACATGTTATATACAAAACAGAAACTTCTTATACATCTCATTAAAATAAAAATATTGTCAAACTACTCAACATAAATCAAGTTGAACTGTTATGAAATACAATACACAATTCATATAATGATTTGTTTGTCTTATTTTCCTGATTCTTCAGTACTCACACATGTTTTTATCCCAGAATACCAGGACTGGTACATATAATGTACAATAACATAACAAACAATTCTTCAATACATATAAAAACATGAAAAACATGCAGTGAATTTATGCATAGCACTAAAGCCTTATAGATAATGGCAGTATAAAATGAAAACATGTTATATAAATGGTGTAAATAGTGATGTCAATTACAATACTGATATACATGTTATAATAATTGTGAGCAGTTTATACATACATGTACCAACTATATACATCAACTTACAATATATACAAGCACATATATTAACTTAATAGTGGATTAAATATATACAACCTGTAGAAAAATATATAACTGATGTAGTTTTATTTTAGATTACATATTTCAACACTACATAATGGAAGCCCAGGTTCAAATATTTTGATTCATTCAATCGTTGTGTAAGAACAAAAAAACAATATAAAAATGAAAAAAACTAACCACACATAAGGATAATCTTCATTTGCAATATATTTGCCTTACCAACCGTTATAAAGTTAGAACTATTTAATGTATATTTCACATGTATTATATGTGAAGTTTAAAAAAGCTAAAGTTAAGAAGTTAAAAACCTTCAAATCAGACTTCAGTCAAATGCTGACTAGAAGGGATCTTAATTTGTATCCTAGATAAGTCTTTTTAACTACTAACAATAACTAACAATGTTCACTCTCAAAACAGTACTGTATTAACTCACAACACTGTTCATCATCTCACAACCTTAGTTTGTAAGTTCCAAGTTCCAACCATCATTTACTATGTAAGAGATTTATATTTTCATCAAATGTAAATACTGTTCCACAGAATAATTAAACAAACAAATCTAAAACATAAATGTCTCATATCTAACACTCAGGAGACCCCTAAACTTTCCTGAATTTAGAAATTCAACTTTGAATGTCAAGGTCATTTAAGGGTCAAATTCAAACTGTGTCAGCATATGAAGATTCTAGTATATAAAATGTTAATGTCACAATCCAGCAGACATGGCAAAAATTGTCTGCTGAGAAAATGTACAAATAATATATTGTTTAGATGTGGTAACAAATATTGATGTCTTATTATAACTGTGCCACATTTATGATTACATGTACTCATGCCAAATCATGTAAATTATCATTTTCTATCCATTTTTTTTCCCATTTTTATATTGTAATGGGTGAAAGTTGGAAATTTTAAAAATCCTGAAAATCCTGAATTTAGCAGTTTTTCTATAGTATTACAAGGAAATAGAAGGCTTTCTGGAGACTGAAAATCCTGAACTTCAGGTATAATCCAGAAAACTTTCACCCATGTATTAAGTTATCTTTTGCTAAAAGAAAGAAAAGCATAAAATCTGTAACAGTAAATGTTGTTTTTATCGCTTTAAAAAACAAAACGAAATATCTATAGTAGATCAATGTGTAAAAAACTATCAACTAAACACATTTTTAACTGGAAAAAAAACACATGACAAATGTTCACAACATAGAACAAACTACATTTTGTATAACATTACTACAAATTAATGATCATGTTGAGCATATAAACACATCAATTGTTTACTAAAATCACTATGTTAACATACTAGGTAACTTGAGATTCAGTGTTCATTTCTAATACTTTGGCACTTTCTTTTGAACAACAGAGAATAAACAAAATTACTATCAAATTTAAACCTACACAAACTATTTTTCAATTAATATTCAATTAAAAAGTAGCAGCAACTTTCTATGTTGATGAGGTTCCCAGATATTTTTAAATTTAAATGGAAAAGAATGTTATAAATTATTGTAAGTCAGGGTACAAACAGCTTATCAGATCAACTTATTGTGGGATAATAAAGGAGTCAGAGACTGACAAAAGTGGTTGTGTACACTTATATATCATTGAACAGCTTCCTTCCCAAAAATTTCTACATTGTTAAAATATTCCAGTATGGCCCATCAAGAAAACACATTGAGTGACTCTCACCTTAGTGCAATAACAGATTAACTGCTATCAAATTAAGGACTTATTTTTTTATTGCACTAAGTTGACAATTCGAAAGAAACTGTCCGGAAGTTTGTCAAGTAATGGTTGTATAAACTTGAAAATAACTGTGATTGTCAGGTTGAGGGGAGTCATGGTGATCATATACCATCTAGAAATGATAGTAAAAGGTCATGTACAAGCTTGGTAATACAAGTTGGTTGTGATAACTGAGGAAACTTTGGGTGATCAAGATCATCTGATTGATAGTGTAAGGAAGTCCGATTCTAAACAATACATCCATAATATTCTTCTAAATATTCAGAGGCTACATGTACATCTTTATTACGACTTACCTTCAACATGACCAGCAATAATCATATATATCTTATCAACTCAGTGTTTTTCAACATTTTATACAAAAGGTGAGAAACAAATTTGGCTGAATTTATACACAAGCTCTTAAGTGAGTGGAACACTTAAAGTATAAGTAATGTTTATCTCACAACATATGTTATAGAGCATTGTTATAATGTACAATATTAACATACAGGTACTGTATGGCACATTAATACATGTATATACACAATCACTTACATGAAAGTATAATCATTACCGGTAACATCTCTTACAAATACTGTAATCAGAATATGGTAAGTGACAATAACAAACATAAAACAAAAACAGTTTTATCTCATTCAGTATGTGGTACTTCTGTTAAAACTGAAATTAAGGCTTAATAAAAATTCAAGTGTAATTCTGTATATATCCATTTTTGACACATAGATATCTACATTAGATTATGTCAATGTTACACTAACCTATAGATGTCTTATGATGCAAATTTCACACTTACATATCAATGTTTCACTCTACCATTTCGCACTTTGATATTGATGTTTTAGACAGTCATTCCACATTAATATATTAATCAATTGACTATTTAACAAATTAGATATCAATGTCTGACACTGCTGATTTAATATCAATATAATTATCATCATTTAACATTGATCTCAGGTAAATATACCTGTAACCTGGATATTGATGCAATATATAAAGGATATTGAATGAGTGTAAGTTCAATACTGAATTTATTGAGTTTTTGGCAAGCATAATATTATTTTATTCAACGAGTTCAATTAATTCAGTAATGAACTTACACTAATTTAATATTCTATTAATCACATACCAAAAAGAAAGACCGTTTAAAGTGAAAAAAAAAGAGTCATTTTTCATTGACACGCCTACAGTATAAAGCTAACATTTAGAGCGTCGTATAATGCAAAAGAAGTCACATTAAAATTATATGCACAGCCATGCAATACCATTTTTACGAAGTCGCAAATCGGCACAGGTATGTGATAAATTATTATTGTATGATATATATTTTAAAATTTTACATTACAAATATAATAAGGGGATTAGCAAGCCAGTATGAGATAATGGCCCATTAAAACCCATCAGCCACGGCTACAGTTTTTAGCTGGGACAAAAATGGACGCAGAACAAGTCTGTTTTAGAGATTTCAGCAGATTTAAGAGTTAACATTATCACAATGATTTTAACTTTGGCATTTTTTAAACAATACACACTTGACTTAATGAACTTTTATAGATAGATAAATAATACATTGTATTCACACTTGTACTGGAATGTTGTTCAAACATTAGGAAGACATTTCATAGACTATTGTTGCTTTGTTTGATTTTGAACATAACATAAACTGTGTTTAATACTTCTTCGTAAATAAGCCTTCACTTTTCATTCAATAAATGCAGCAAACTTAATGTTAAACGGGCCTTCAACAAGTAATAAGTTCAACACTTTTGACAAAATAACAATTATTACATAACAAATTAGTAATGAAATATTATGGACAGACCTGGACTGACCGCTAACTAAAATTTGACTTTATTTTTATTTCAATAATCAACTGACTTGACCAAAGTTCTCTGCATCTGTCCTATTTATTTATCCTCCACAAACTACTGTCAACTTCTCAACAGTAAGTATAGAGTAAGGTAAAGCTATGTTATCATAAACATACAGGATGGGAAATGGACAACAGCCCTCCCAGACAAAAAGTCCTCTCAAGCAGACAAAACCCATCCCGTGAAAATGAGGTCCACCCTCACATTTTTTGCAGGAGGGCATTTGTCCACCTTGTTATTTTGGATGGGGTGGCTTTTGTCCAGGAGGGCTTTTGTCCTACACTCATACAGGATAAAATTTGCAAGCAGTGTATGAGACAACAGTCATAGAGGATGTTATATTATGATATATATACATTGTATATATAATTGATATGTGTTATACCTTGATATGCTAGCTTATAATATAACTGCGAGACAAAAAAAATACCAGGCAAGAATATATAAGACTTCCATGTTGTACAATGATTAACATATCATCATAAAATGTTTATATTGTTGTAATTCTTTTTTTAACTCATAGCTTATCTAGATCTGATAGTTTCGTGTCAAGTTATGCAATAATATTAAAGAATTGCATTCCTACATGTAAACCTCTTTATTATTTTTTCTATATAATTGTTACTCATACCCAGAACATGTTCTAGTTAATATTGTTAACAATGGAAAAAGGTCACAATTTAATCAATCTTAAATTGATTTCTTTGTTTAAACTGTGAACTGTCTGTTCTATAAATAATGTCATGTATAATAGAGGTAATATTCAATGATTACGTAACAATATCGAAGATATCATTATACGGAGGTGTTGAGCAACATATCTAAACAATGAATAATTTCCTGATCTGTAGATGTCAGTGTCTTGGAATTAATTTCTTCATATACATAGTCACAACTGATAGATTTGTTGTTTATATATTAACTCATGACTGGTTAGCCTGTTTGTGTATTTCTGTAATTTGTTGGTACAGATTATCTATGGTTTCCCTGGAGACAAGTGTCATGTTGTTGTTGCCGTGGTTACTAGGTGGTGTAAGACCGATGGTGTTATATAGAGAGTTAATCAAGGCTGGCAGTCTCTCTCTACATTGTCTTCTCACCTCAACAGCTCTAACATCCTCACTGTCCTCCAGCTGTAATTATATAACAAACAACATGTAAATGTAGAAATTATATAATAAATATAAATAAATATAGAACATGGAATATCTACTGGTGCCTCTCCAGTGACAGTACAACACTATATAATCAGAGTGATATGAACTTCACTTTTTTGAATGTAAGTAAACTACAGAGCATAGCTTATTAAATTTAAAGTTTTTTCCCCAGTAATTTGCACAAAATGTGGAATATAACTTAAATGTGGTCATATGGGTAAGTTTCATTAAAGTATGAAAACATTGCCTGATACTTGTGAATCAAATCATCTAAAATTATTTGCACTGAGAATTTTGTAAGGAGATACTATTTTTCAATTCTGTCATGATCCAGTATTAATTTTGTTATGTTGGTTTGAAAAAAACTGCATGTGTATTTACCATTCTTACAATACATGATCCAAAATTGGTTACCTATATTGGATCATGTCAGAACATGGGTTATATGGGTCTGGAAAAACTGCATGAGTATCTTTAAGTACCTGGTTATTAGAGTCAGTACTAGTACTAGAATACAAAATACCTGTGGGAAGGCCTGTGTCACTCTGTAAACAGCAGTCTGTATTTGGTCCAATGACTCTAATAATATGGAATGTGGATCAGCTGAAATTATAAATTATCACATACATAAACAACACATTTTAATTACAATTTTATGGTCAATGGTAATATATATACAAATCTGGGGAAAAAAAACTTGTTTTTTCTTTCTAGACTTACTTCATTATCATTTACTTAAAATAAAACTATATGTGTATTTTGTTTTAATTTAAAAAGAATACCCTAGACACAAAGTAACTGTGACTGGATACTGAAAAGTTTAATATACAATATGAGAAATAAATTCCTCTACAATAAAAGCTTTCAATATGAAATAAAGGTATACACATACCTCTGGTCAGAAGTTGATCCCTCCTAAATGTTTGACTGAAAAACATGAAAAACAAACAACTATTAACCCTTGTTAACTTTATCATTCTATACTATCGAACAAAACAGTAATATCTGTACATTGGTTGAAACATATTTATTTAATTAAGCTCCATTGCGAAACAAGTTCTTTCAACTTATATCTTATTTCACTTTCGAGGCCTCTTCCTGGAACCAACCAGTATTGGTGTCATATGAAGAAACATAGTCGTGACCCGATTAGGGCTCGAACACATGATCCTTCAGTTGAGAGACAGACACCTTAACCACTAGGCCACAGCTGCCCTCTGTACATTATCTGTACATTAAAGAATTAATTAATAACCTGACATTTCACAGTATTCAGGAAGGTCCAAAATAGAAACCTGTCTTACAAAGTCAATAATTTACTAATTAACTGATATAAATAGAAAGATAGCATACCTATTTTCTAGGTCTGTGTCTGATCCAAGCCCTGTATCTGCTACACTACGAGGACTTGTGTTGCTATGGTTACCAGGAGACAGATGATGAGACAGTCCCTCCGAGTCGAGGCTAGACGTTAACCCAGCTGGTGGGCTGAGACTTTGAGCTGATGTTGACATTTCTGACCCTCCTGATATTAAATGACTGGTCCCTTCAGTTTGTTGATGTATGTGATCCCTGAGATATTGGGAACCAGACTGGAATGATTCTACAGGATCAGTGACTGGTACCCTTTTAGGAGATGCACTTTTTGTTGTCATGGTAACAGTACCAGCTGTATCTGTTTTATCTTTGGGAGGAATAGAATGGGAAGAACTAGATGACGTTGATGATGGACTTGAAAAATTTATTTGAATTGAAGAAGTTTGTCTAGAGTTTTCCCACTCTGGACTAACAGAGCGTTGCCTGCCTCTAAAGGGGCTTGGTGTTTGCTGTCTATCTGGATCTTTTACCTTATTATTCAATCTTGCTATTCTTTCTTTCACACTAGGAGAAGGACATTCGTCATCTTCTTGTGCTAAAACACCAGAATCTCTGAGAGAGTTTTTACTTTCAGCACAAATATCAGTGTTCAACCCTTTAAGTGGGTGAGGTTTCACACCAATTAGTTTATCACTATTTGATGTTTTAGCATGAGTTCTAGATGTATCACGTTCGCGTGGAATGTCACGTTCAGGTAAATCTTGAGGACTTGCCTCAAGTTCAAACCCAGAATTCACGTTAGAAGATGGAGCAGATTTTCTACGTAATTCTGCCGCTGTCATTTCAATCTCTGATGCAGTGCTTAGTATTGCGGGATCAGTTATTTCTCCTATATCACTACCAGTTAAACCTGATTCAACAGAAGAAAGACTTGATCTGTTTCTAGAAGGGGATGTTGATGAGGATCTCTTCTCTTTCTTCCCATCTAAAATTCCAGAATTACCCTTGAGAATATTTTTTGCCTCTTCAAATGTGAGCTCTGAAGTTCCGGTGGTTTTTCGTCTAGGTTGCTGAGCACGTTTCATAAATCTTGTTTCCTGTTTGGTTTTTGCTACATTAGTTACAGCAGGCGGAGGCATCAAATCGCGATCTTTACCTTTAACAACAGTTTTTGAATTTGTTACACTAGATGTGACTCGCTTGCTAAACCCTTTCTTATCATCTGTACTACTTTTATTTTCTCCTGACAATCTACTAGTGGAAGCAGCTCTTTTAGAGCTTTTTAATGCCGAGTTGCCCACTTGTGCCGGGCTTTTTGTTGTTCGAGTTTGTTTGTCACTTTTTCTATCACTGATAACATTATCATTTATATCTTGTTTACTTCTATCAGAGAGATCAGACTCCCGGGAACTACTCAATGATAACTTACCATCATCATCTGGATTTAATAAATTTGGCACTGAAGCAAAAGAGGTCATCTTTGATGTAGACCATTTTGATCGAGGTCTACGATTTGTGCCTCGAGGGGTCAACTCCTGCTCATCATCATCAGATAATAAATTAGTCATCGAGTTTGATTTTGATTTTGACAGATTACTGCCCGCAGATTTTCTTCTAGGTTCAGGTGAGATAACCGTGACCTTACTGAGGTTTGGTGTAGACAGTCTGGAGTTCTTTTTATATTCAGACATTTTACTAGAAGAAGGTTGTGGTCCAGTGGGTGTGTCTTTTCTTATTCTACCTTGTGATTTATTGGTTGATTTATCAGTAGGGGTTACCCTACCACCTGATCTGTCCAATGGTAATGTTCTAGGGCGTGCTGTAGAGGAAAGTGTTGTCCTGGAAGTTGGCGTCTGCTGATGTTCCCGAGACTTGGAGAAGTTAGAGGAACTCACTGAAACATAAATCAAGTAGTGACAAAATATGCAAAATTATTCTTTTTGCTACAAACTTATATAGCCTGTGATGAAAAGGGTAAACTTTATTTCAATAACATGACTTAATCCAAGCTGTTTAAATAAAACGTTGTGTATTTGTATGAAAAAATTTAAATATACATGTATAATATATTTGTAGAAATAGGAAAACCATGTTTAAAAATACAAATGTATATGGAATGATGTACCTGATGATGTAAAATAATCTTAATTGAGATAAGTTAGTACAAAAAAGTAAGGAATTCACCAAGCTTGGACAAATTTTTACAGAACACAAAGAGTATTTTAGTTATGTTTTAAAACATATGACCAGTTAAATAATGACTGCAATAATTTATAGAAAACAACATCTGTTGTAAGTACATGTCAAAATTTACACTCTAGTATTAGCTAATACATCAAAAAAATATATCAGAACAATTGCAGAATAGTTTAAAAAAATAAAAAACACACACAAAAAAAAACAAAAAAAAACACACACACAAGTAGAGTGGAACTCTGTCAAATGTATTCAGAAAGTTTCTCAAAATTCTATTTAACCATACCTCGGTTACCAACTAAAACCTTCTTACAAGCTAACTTTTCTATTCCATAACATAATGATCAAAACTTAATGAGAAGTTAACCAAAAACATCACTTTGTAGACCTGAACTTGCTACATAAACTAAAATGAAAGTTAACAATTTATAAATCCAAATATAACTCCTGAAAATGATGAAGAATCTGTATTAAACCTTGAAGCCAGTTATTACAATAATAATGATGATTATGAAACCCCAATTATTATATACATGTACTGATATATAACTGATATATATATTGATATATCACACAGTCAATGCTGACACAGACAATGAAGGTCCAATAAAATCTCAAGCATTCCCTATATTCATATATACAAGTAAGAGGCACACATAATGTTAGTGTCAATACAAGAATTCTGTTCACACATTATTATAATTATTACCAATACCCAACATTACATCACAAACATAGATATAATTGTCAATAAAGCATAAATAATATATGATCCTCGCCCTATAGTCATTAACATTTAAAGCTTAACCCATTATGATAAAAATTTTATTTCAAATGTTAAGTTACACTGTAAGCAGTTTCTGATGAATATCTACTATATATTAGTCCATTCCTATTTAGTCAGAACAGTTTGGGACTTTCCTTGAGATATGATGAATGGTTTTGTCTAAATTGAAAGATGTTCATGTCCAATCAAGACCTTTAGTGTGGTAAGAGTTAATTGCTTTACATTATTGGAACAGCAAAAGTGATTCTTTGTTACCGTTTAAATATTTAGCATGTATGCAGTGGGAAAGTTCAAAATTACATTAACAATTACAGTTAACCTTGGAATAAATAGATAACTTATTAACAATTACAGTTAACCTTGGAATAAATAGATAACTTATTAACAATTACAGTTAACCTTGGAATAAATAGTTAACTTATTTACAATTACAGTTAACCTCGGAATAAATAGATAACTTATTTACAATTACAGTTAACCTCGGAATAAATAGTTAACTTATTAACAATTACAGTTAACCTCGGAATAAATAGTTAACTTATTAACAATTACAGTTAACCTCGGAAAAGATAGTTAACTTATTAACAACCTCGGAATAGATAGTTAACTTATTTACAAATACAGTTAAACCTCGGAATAGATAGTTAACTTATTTACAATTACAGTTAACCTCGGAATAGATAGTTAACTTATTTACAATTACAGTTAACCTCGGAATAGATAGTTAACTTATTTACAATTACAGTTAACCTCGGAATAGATAGTTAACTTATTTACAATTACAGTTAACATCGGAGTAGATAGTTAACTTATTTACAATTACAGTTAACCTCGGAATAAAAAGATAACTTATTAACAATTACAGTTAACCTAGGAATAAATAGTTAACTTATTAACAATTACAGTTAACCTCGGAATAAATAGTTAACTTATTAACAATTACAGTTAACCTCGGAATAAATAGTTAACTTATTTACAATTACAGTTAACCTCGGAATAGATAGTTAACTTATTTACAATTACAGTTTACCTCGGAATAGATAGTTAACTTATTTACAATTACAGTTAACCTCGGAATAGATAGTTAACTTATTTACAATTACAGTTAACCTCGGAATAGATAGTTAACTTATTTACAATTACAGTTTACCTCGGAATAGATAGTTAACTTATTAACATAGTTAATTTATTAACAATTACAGTTAACCTCGGAATAAATAGTTAACTTATTAACAATTACAGTTAACCTCAAAATAAATAATTAACTTTTAATCATTAGATATATGAAAGCTCTTAAAAAGTATCAGCTGATAATTAGAAAATGTTAATGCAAGATGGAAAACAAACAATTGTGATTTTCTATTTTAAAGAAGAATCTAATATAACATCAAGTGCCACCAATTTCCACAAATATAGAATATAGTTCCTATAGTTATAAAGCATTATAGACTTCTGCACCTATAGATCAAAATTACACAATGGTGGGGTAGAGTCACTAAATACTGCCTGACTTGACTATATCTTTATTTACTTTCATTTGTTGGTACATATAACTTATTTTAACAAAATTACAAAAAAAATGTAAGGAGGAAAAAAACATATTAACATTATACAGTAATAGAAAGTCTTAATTTGTGATTATTTTTTTTTGTATATCTGCCAAAAATGTTCAAATCATGTTATATAGGGGAAACACTACATGCTGAACAATTTTCCATAATGCTGTTGGTCTCTAAACAACATGCTGTCGACAGTGAAACAATCATGCTGTCGGGCATAAAAACAGCAAGCCCTGTTGTAACTTTACCCCTGATTGTTACTCTCCGCTGATTATATTTAGGCGTATATGATATAGGAGCAGGTATTTTACTCCTTGTACATATCTTGTTATTGGTTATACTCTCTACTATAATCACAGTTGTCTGTTTACCAGATCGTTCCAATCGTTTCCGAGTTGGTAATTTGATTGGCTTCCCTTCAGGTATAGGGCTCTTTGGTAGGTCAAAGTTTGACCAGCAGCGACGGAGAGTTTTAGGCGTTCTAGGGCCTACAGTTAGCAATATGTTCAATTTAAAGCAACTATATAATATAAATTAAACCCTCAAATAGAAACAAAATAAACAGACTCTAATTTTGTATAAAATGACAAGTTATAGACTTTTATGTCAATGTATTTGTTATATATATATATACTATTTCAACAGTGACCTCAAGTAAACTGCAGAAGGTATGAATGTAAGGAATAAAACTCCTCTGTAACATGTATAAACTTGACAAACAGCAGTTCCTATCTATTATATTCATTGAAATAAGTCTTTTAATACCACATTTTCACACACACAAAAATGCGTGTATTACCCTAATGTCTATCAAACAAATGTCAAATGAAAGTAAATCTGCATAAATCCACACTATCCCCCCCCCCCCCCCCCAAAGTAGATTGATACATATTGAAAAAGATAAAATACTGTGATTTAAAAGTCTATAACTAGGTAAATGATGAAGGTAATTGAGTAAATTAAAATAATTTCCATGCTTCCTTTACCCCTATCATCTATTATACTACATATATTTATAAATTAGAAATAAAATCTAATGCAGGAATATAAATTTATTATCTACAAATAAAAATAATATATATACATGTGTATGTATATTCATTTTAACTCTATCTGGCCACACCCCATGCCAATAAACATCATGCTTTGTGAAAAAAATATCTTAAATTGTATGACACTTTACTGTTCGTCAAAATAAAGCTATATTGTATGACAATAAGAATGAATAACAATTACCGTACTTGAGAGTTTACATTAGGGAAAATAATTTATTGTGACAATAAACAATTGCATGAAAATGCGTAAGGTAATGTTTTGGTTTTTTTAAAAGAAGAAAACTTAAGCTTGAAGTTTTGTTTTCTGTAATATTTTTCAATGGAAATCTGACACAACAAATTTACTTGAAATGAGAAGCTTTGAATGACTTATCATCTATAATTAAGCACAAGACCTTTATGCAGGCGAACCGAATGTTCTCTAAAGCACTAAGTGGTAAAAACTGAAGAAAACAAGCATCTTTATGATACTGAATTAAGATAACAAGCACTTTCTGACAATGATTATGGATAGTATGCACCTTTAAATGATATTGTTGAACACAAGCAATTTGTGGCACTGACTTAAAGAACAAAGCACTGAATTTGGATACTGACTAGAAAACAAGCACTTAGTGATATTGACTGGTACAGTAGAAAACAAGCTCTCAGTGATACTGACTATAGAAAACAAGCACTTAGTGATATGGACTGTAGACTGTAGAAAACAAGCGGCTCAGTGATACTGACTGTAAATGATCAGAGTTATAAGGTAGATATAATGTATTACTTACTGGGCGGTGGGTCAGGTTGCTCTCTCAATCGTGATATAAGGTCGTCCGGTATATTATCATCACTACCCGCATCTGACTGACCAACCTATAAATATACATGTGTATAACATAGAGGTTTGAAGTGTAAACAGCTATATCTCTGCTGATTGCAGTTAGACAGTATGTTGCCATCTTTTATTTTCATTCATTATAAAAACAAATGATGTCTTTCAGCAAAATTTAAGTGTTTTCTTGTGTTTATATTTTTCTTTTTTTTCCAATTATGTACCATTTTACACTCTTGAATTTTTCACTTCTTGTTTCATGTCTAATAATATAGTAGCAAATAAGTTTAAAAAATAATTTCTCAAGAACATTTATGAAACGATAGCCGCAGCCACTGGATTTTTGTCACTAGAGTCTAAAATCTAAACTGCAATTATAAGATTCATTCTAGTATTCTGCCCTCTTGATGTATTAATAGAATCTATCATTGGGTTAGATAGAGGATAGGGAAATCCCAACCCGAGGGTGATCGGTTCCATCGGGAACGAGCCTTGGCGAGTTCCCGATGGAACCGATTGCCCGAGGGTTGGGATTTCCCTATCCTCTATCTAACCCAATGGTTGATTATTTTTCTCACTCACCTGAACACACAAATATCAGTGAATCTACTTGCTACGCCCATTACAACGTACCTAGTTTTGAAAAGGGGGCGGGGCTTAGGCGCCTGACTTTCTATGATTAAAAAGCATTATGTACGTCCGCAAAAAATTCTTCTGACAAGTTTGTGTGTGAAAAATTTAATGAAAATAAATTCATATGAGACCCCTCATGAAAAAGCAAGGTTATCATGATGAAACACATCGATATTAAAAACGGAAAGTGCCATAATATAAGTGTTTATAAGGAATTCAATCCATACTTCAATGGTTGACAAAAAGCGTTTACCGTTTGCAAAGATTTTTCTACTTTTTCGGTTATTTTGGCCAAATATTCAATTAAAATATATCAAAATGAGATTCGTCATCAAAAAGCATCGTTATCATAACAAAAAACATGAATGTTTTTCAGGCAAAGTGTCATAATATCCGATTTTACGAAGAACGTTTCGATATTTTAAAGTGTGCTGTTTTTAGTAACAGATCGTTATTGGAAAGGGCGGATCTAGGTAGAGTAGGACTCATTGCAGTGTGAAAGTTAATATCAATCTATTTTGATTCCGTAGACAATTTAATAGATTAGCTTACAAATTTTTAATACATTTTGACCTTTTGACGTTTAATTTTTGTTAAAATAGGAGTGAATCGCCTATTATTTAGAACTGCTGCACGTTGAGTGTGAGATAAGCCCATGTGAGATAAGATTTTCCAACACCGCTATTTTTAGTAACATTTAAGGATTTTTCTATCTGGTTAGTGAGAATACATTATCTTATACAAGCACATGTATATAATCACCTGTTGTAATGTTGGGGTGCTATCAAGCTTGGGGGAAGTGGGGGAGGTACGGGGTTCAGTGAACGGGTCATCACCGTCTGCTTCTGGGCTCTCCTGCTTCCAACCCATCTGTAAAAAAACGGAGATAATTGGGATAATGTGCTGCATGGATACAAAGTTATATTTTGTGTCTGAAATTATTTTTTATCCAATAAGATTGCAAATGAATTGTTACACATTTATTTACCTTGATAAATTGGCTTTTATTAATCTTCTACAGTTTCAACCACCGAATTGGTTTATGTTCACTTGCTTTTATTAAGCATTTTCAAAATTAAATGGTCAAAGGGCTGCCCCTAATGACCAATCTTATGTTGCAAATACCTACTATTAATACTCACCTACACATTATAATTTGTTATTTTCAAGTTTTATGAAATGAATATAACCAGAGAAAATGTATATGCAAAATAAATTATAATCTACATTAACACAGAAACCTTAATTATTGCTACCCTATGAAATTGTTAAACAAATTTTTTTTATGATTAATAAAAGAATATTACAAACATGTAAACACTGCTACATCCTTTGATATGTTATCTCAATAAATAAATGATGTAAAAAAACAAACTATGATAACTACTATACTTACAGCCATCAACATTTTCCTACTTTCATCCAGATTTCTGGCCATGTCATCTTTTCTTCTCTGTACTGACTGTAGATATAACATATAACATATAAATCAATGCCCCCACAACATCCGGGGCTCTGTTAAATTTAACAGTGCATAAGTGGATTTATCAAATGTTTAAATTTACAGAGCTTTGTGAAACAGGCCCCAGAACTATTTCATTTCAGAATCAATGACTTATTAATTAACCAGTTATTGATTAACTAGTAACTAACTCTAATTTCAAACAATTTAATCATCAATTATAAATCTTTGTTGCACTATGCCAAATTATTGAAATATATTTCATTCAATGGTCAAGTCAGTACTATATTAACTTGACATCAATAATTGATTGTAACAATTCGTTAACTTGATATCAATTTATTTACTTGATATCAATGGTTGACAGCAATGCTTCAACAAGACATTTAAAATTGAGTATAAGAATGACTTAACTTGTTATCAGTATTGATATAACAACAATTCTTTAACTTTATATCAACTGTTCATTACTTTGCTGTTAATTGTAACAATTCTTTAACTTGATATCAATGGTTGATGACAACACTATTAAACTGATATCAACTATCTATTACAGCTTTACTTTGACTTGAAATCAATGGTTGAATACATAACTCTGTTTACTTAGTTAAGTTTATACAAATTTCTTTTAGTTTGATAGTGTTGGAAGCTATACACTTATTGAAACACTCTCGATTCCGTTCCTGGAACCAACCAGTACTGAGCAATGAATTATAGTTTCTTGCTCAAGGAAACAATGGCTTGCCCCTGATAGGGTTTGAACCTACGCGCTCAGAAATCCTTAGATTACTAGTCCGACGCGTTAACCACTCGTCCATGCCGCTTGATATCACTTATGCACTACAGCTTTACATTAACTTGATATTGATCAATGGTTGAATACATCACTTAATTAACTTGATACAATGGGTTGAGAAAAACATTGCAAATTAGTTTTGTTACAACACACAAATCTTAACTGATATCAATGTATCAATGGTTATTTTAAAACAAGAGACCAAAACTATATAATGTAACATATGTACATAAACTAGTTAAACAGTTAGTAAAAACACACAAAATAACTCAAACTTTTAGTAGTAACATACTCAAAGACATTATATATAACATGGAAAATGTAGTAACAATGCCTGAAGAAAAATGTGTAAAAGTGTAAACAGAAACAAAAAGCTGAACAATGTGCTAGTGAAGATATTGTAACAAGGGGGATAACTCATTAAATGTACATACATTCTGATCTTTTCCCTAATCAATAAAATCAAATAACTGATGGATAAATAAGGATAAAAGAAAAATCAACATGACATTAAGATTGGGAAAACCATCATATATAACTTGTCTAAAACGAAAGATAATCACAAAAACTATTTCATATGATGCAATACACTATGTTAAAATGGGTTTGAGGATAGGAATGTGCATATATGTAAAAAATGAGTAAATTTAAAAAATGACCAAAACAGAAGCAACAAGAGCTGTCCGTAAGACAGCGCGCTCGACTTTTTTATTGCTTGCCAATAAAAAAAGTTTTTGCAGTAAAAGGCAATACAAGAATCTCTGTATTTTTAAAGTGAACTAGTTGTTTGATACCCTTGAATATTACAGCAATGTTTATATGACATAATTTATGGTAAAGTGAACAAGTGGATAGGAATGAATTTTTTTAGATTTTTTAAGTTTTTTAGTGCTTGCCTATAATACAAAACATTGACAGTTAAGGGCCATAATTCAAATAAAATCTTTGACAGAATTACCTTCTCCTGGACATGTTTGGGAATCATGATTGTAAACAAGTATTCCAACTTTCAAATTAATATCTCAAACAGTTCAGTCAAAAAGTGGACTGGTACTAAAAACTTAACCAAGATTCTAAGTCGATAAAAGGCCTTAATTTTTAAAACAAATCCTTGACAGAGTTACCTTCTCTTGCGTACAGATGGGGGTAATGATGTGAAATAGCATTAAAAGTTTCAAAGCAATATCTCAAAGGGTTAAGGCAATAAGTGGATTTTACCCATATTCAATGTATTTTCTAAGTCAAAAAGGGCATAATTCTGTCAAAAACCTTGACAGAGTTATGTCCTCTTGTCTGTTGATGAAGGTCGTGATGGTAAACAAGTATGGTCAGTTTCAAAGCAATACCTCCAATGGTTTTTGAATAAAGTGAGGTGGTACAAAAAAACTTAACCAAGCTCAATACACTTTCTAAGTCAAAAAAGGGCCATAATTCTGTCAAAAACCTTGACAGAGTTATGTACTCTTGTCTGTAGATGGAGGTTATGATGGTGAACAAGTATGGTAAGTTTCAAAGCCATACTTGTAATACTTCTGAAATAAAGTGGGGTGGTACGAAAAACTTAACCAAGGTGTGACGCCAACGCTAACGCTGACGCCGACGCCGACGCCGGGGCGAGTAGGATAGCTCCCCTTTTCATAGAAAAGTCGAGCTAAAAACTGGGATAAAATCTCTTCAAGAAAATGTATATATTGTTAAATCAAGTATACATTGGTAGTTTCATCAAAAAGCTTGGTCTTCCTCCAAAACTTCAGTAAATATATCCCAAATATACAAATATATATAACTATTGGCCTTTTAATCCAGCTGATATACATCTAAAAATATCTCGCACCAGGATATCAAAATAGCTTATACATCTCAAATAAATTTATGCAATCTTTCATAAAAAAATACAAAAAAGCCCAAAATTCTTGTTTTCTCTAATGCAGGGTCTAATAAAATCTATACGATCAATTCACCAACTGAAATTAAACTCTAGTCAACTTATATAGCATCAGGGAGTTAACCAATAAATACAAGATTATAATTTTGAACATTCAAAAAGTTTGTACCAGTTGCCATTTGTGGAGAAGACCTCTTAGCTGGAACAAACATTATTACAGCATAATAAATCTGCTGCTATAAAATTTTAATAACAGAAAGAACTCAGATATCCTCAATTTATGTAAAACTTTCATACAATGATTTATGCATATATAAGTGACATTTTGCTTTCAAACAATAAATCATTCAATCAAACCATTAAGAATGTTAAATCCATTTCTTAATATCCATTTTATAGAAAGTTTACAAAGAAATTTATCGAAAAAATTATGTTTTCAATGAGAATTTGACAACAAAAAAAGAAAGACAGAAAAAAAATACTGAGAAAATTAGAAAATTTTCTTACAAAAAACAACAACATAAAACAGTGAAGTCAACCAAACATGCAAACTCAAAAATGTCTCTCCGTGTTACACTCCATATTCAATTCTTTATCTTATATACTGTTAAACAGTTATATTAATCACATCTACCAGGCTGTGTGTAGATTAACTGGATACACAACACAACAACAATGTGGTAAAATACAACGTGAACAAATATTAGAAGAATCTTACACCGGCTGCCGGTATAGACCGGAATATCTAGCTCGAGGGTAACTGTTTACAGCGGTAACGAGGCTCTGCCGAGTTTCCACTTAACAGTTACCCGAGAGCTAGATATTCCCGTCTGTACCAACAGCCGGTGTTTGATTCTTTTTCTTGCATACAACATGTCAATTATTTTCGGAACAGAAATTACGAAAACTGATATTCTCATTACGCACTTTTTTCTTATAGTAGCGTATGGACATACAACTTCATTCATAACGAAAAATAACGTCATCCTAAGAACGCGATTCATTCATTAAAGGCGCGTGTCAATGACGTCATTTAAAACATGCGACTTGTCTAACATGGGGGGTGTAAGACAGAGTTTTCTAGTACCGGTGTAAACAGTAGATAATCCTGTCTGCTATGCAAGAAACAATGTGCTATTTCACATAGAAGCTGCACAGTTAACCAAACACTCGACACATATATCAGTACGACATAAACAATAGGTGATCTTAGTGTAAATCAGATATGGCTTTATCCATATTTTTATCCATAGTTTTGATCTGATTTTCACAGCAAACATACAATATGATATAATATACTTACGTCAAACCAGTTGTCTTGTCTCTGTATACTGCCATATGGTCCCTGATTCCTGAAAACAATTTGTAAAATTATCACTATATATATCTTACAGACAGACAAACAGACAGACAGACACATGATGGTAAACCTATGGTAAAAGTGGGTGATTTTTTATGGGTTTTAAATCAAATAGATCTTGTTAATGTCAAAGGGTGACTTGTCAGAATTACTGATGGAAGGAGACCTCAGACTCACTTGATGCCCTGCCATGGATGGTGTAACGCATGAGCGGGACTTGAGTATTACCAGTAACCTTCCATAAGCTAACGTGATAGCTTCATCACATGAAAGAATTCAGAGTCTCTGGCTGGATTCTGTTGTATAACATTTAGGCGCAAGTGATTTTAAGTGATCTGCTTATACCAGCAGTAACCAGGTAAAAGTGCCAGGTGAGAGAGTACATCCGTACCAAAATCTATACAGCAACATTTTGATATTAAAATCACTCAAACTATGATTTTGGAAACATGAAACTTTACAATTAATGTTGAAATTTCAAATTCAAGGGTTTTTCAAGACTACAATTATTTTACTCTTTTTTTTTCTTGGACAACAATACAGCAACAATACAACATAATACATAATATACCTTAGATTAGCTGCCTGTGATTTAGAGAGGAATCTGGCTGACAGACTTTGACGAGAGTTAATGCCCCCTGTAGCCGGGTTAGATGCCATCTCTTCTTCTAGTGTATCCAAACCCTTCACAAACTTATCTGTCGGTAACCCCGGTGTAAAACTTAGGTTCTCAAATGTGTCTTTTAAGAACTTTTCCTAGAAGAAATAATCATCTAATTTGTACAACTTATATCAAAATATGCAACAGTTACATAAATAAACAGCATTAAAATATTGAAATGATGACGATAATTAAAACTTGAGCACAATGTCTGACATTTATCTTACGATCAGATATAATTTAGAACCCTATTTCAAGTATTAATATGCATTTCAGAGAATACCTTTAATCTTTTACCATATATATGGGAAAACCATAGATTAATAACAAGTATATAGTTATACCCTATTTTGTGATTTAGGGATATCATCCATCGGTGTACTGGGCATAGAATCATCTTCATCATCTACATCTTCTAGTGATACTGGATCTGTTGTCTCAGAATCTGTAAACATTTATACTGTATTTACATTATGTTAACTACAACAGATTTCCAATATGTATACTGTAAAATATACTGTTTTAGGTATGAAATATATTACTTTAGCATGAAATATACTACTTTAGTACGAAATATATTACATTAGTATGAAATATATTACTTTAGTATGAAATATACTACTTTGGCATGAAGTATATTACTTAGGTTGAAATATATTACTTTAGCATGAAATATATTACTTTAGCATGAAATATATTACTTTAGCATGAAATATATTACTTTAGTATGAAGTATATTACTTTAGTATGAAATATATCACTTTAGCATGAAATATATTACTTATTACCTTAGTATGAAATACATTACTTTAGTATGAAATGTATTACTTTGTTATGAAATATATTACTTAAGCATGAAATATATTATTTAAGCATGAAATATATTACTTTAGTATGAAATATATCACTTTAGTATGAAATATATCACTTTAGTATGAAATATATAACTTTAGTATGAAATAAACAGTCTAACATCACCAGTTTATGAATACACTCACAGCAATAAAATCATATCATAAAATAAAACAGATCACTTGCTACAGGAAATAATAATTCACATACTATTCCTTCACATCTCTCATATAAATATATTCAAAATATCCCCTCATCTCTAGAGTATAAAACCTCCTTAATATAGAACATAATATTATTATATATATGTATAAGACAATTTTAATGCCATCATATATTATAACCTATGACAAACACTGTATGAGTCAATGAGAAAATTCCCTTGTGTTTCTATTACCCTTTTATTCACATTCCAGTTATCTCAGTCAGCTAGAGGAATCTCCAATACTTGTTGTATTGTATGACGGGCTGATCTAGATCAATACTCTAACAGAAATGTGATATATGAAATATAAAAAGTTTAAACCCACCTGCATCTGGATTGCTGTTCATTGATATAGAATGTCTCAGTTGATGTGATGTACGATCAGAATTCAAACCAGCATCAAATACTTGATATGAACTGAAATTATACCAAACATATATATAGAGATACAACCATGAAATACATATAGAGAAAAACTGTGGTAAAACTCAAATAGTCAGTAAATCAGCTAAAAATGCACTGTTATTAAACTGTCACATATTTTAAAGTTTACAATGCAGAACACTTCAATGTTAAATGAAGTGTTAACTTATATTTTTAGCATTATTACTGTGAACACCTTTATGACATTTCATCATTCTGTACCTTGAAATAATATATAAATGGTGATGTTAAAATTGATTCAGACTTTTTCAAGTATAGATATATATGGACGTTAACTGTAAGTCTACAAAAAACATATCCCCTCTGCTAAACTACAAAAATATCCACTGAGGGTATCAAAACTACAAACAGTACATTTGAGCCATATAAGCCATATACTTGTCTACCTTTTTACTAAGTAGTATTTACAATGGCAGTTTTTCTCCAAACTTTTATCAACATGCCTGTGAAAACATCACTGGTAAAATTCCTTTTATAATAAACATGAAGTTTTTCATTTAGTGAAAATTCAAGCATATTTCTGTATTTATCAACTTAATCATTTATCCCAACAAGTATGAGAAGTAGCACCAAGATATAATAAATATTGTAAGTCTCACCTGGGCAGTGTATCAGAACCATCACTCTCAGATGGAGGGTAGTAAATAATCTCTGTCTTATCCTGGTCATTGTCATCACCCTCAAAATTATATAACTGAAATAAACACACCCTCAAAATTATATAACTGAAATAAACACACCCTCAAAATTATATAACTGAAATAAACACACCCTCAAAATTATATAACTGAAATAAACACACCCTCAAAATTATATAACTGAAATAAACACACCCTCAAAATTATATAACTGAAATAAACACACCCTCAAAATTATATAACTGAAATAAACACACCCTCAAAATTATATAACTGAAATAAACACACCCTCAAAATTATGTAACTGAAATAAACACACCCTCAAAAATATATAACTGAAATAAACACACCCTCAAAATTATGTAACTGAAATAAACACAACCTCAAATTCTACAGCTAGAATATCTAAAATAATCACTCTTTCAAAACTGTTGAACTAAATTCTTTCCTACCATCAAAACTTATACGAAAATGAAACTGAAATCAACTTACTCTTTCAAAACCTTACCTTTTAATGAATAACATACATTCTCCATGGATTAAACATGAAACAACTGTAAAACCCTGAAGCATCCTGGATAATTATAATTAATTACGTAATTTAATCAATTAATGCAACCCAAAATTAACATTATTTTCAATATCAAACTGCACAAGCAAACAAAATAAATACAGTTTATGAAAATTAAATTTCAAAACAATTATGTGTATTTACAACATGTATTTGTCATTAAATACTTTATTCCCCCCACCTCAACAATTACACTGTACAGTTAAACTTACGTCATCCCATGTGACATCGGACTTCTCTTGAGTGTCCTGTTTTACAAATGTTTTAGAAGATACAGGTAGAAAATCATCATCATCTTCATCATTGTTAATGTCATCAAATATCACTGGCATATTCTGGTTATAAAAAAAAATAACATAATTTTAACATTCAATTAATTCAAATTTATAATACAGTAATAGTGTTTATACAACAAGGAAAGACAAAACTGTTTATATTATATACCATTTATTCATTTATTTATAGAACAGATATTTACACAGACTTAGCTAATTGTCATAGCAATACATAAAACTGACATTTAAAAAGAAAATCAGACAATGTTCTATTATTTATTCATTTTCTTGTAATTTTGATATACATATTCAAAGGCTACAAATCTATTCTTTAATATCAAATCTAGATTTTACTTTGGTTAAGTCAAAACAGTTTAAATCATATAAAAATTTAAACTCCTCTTGCTAAAAGAAGACAAATGGTCTGATATCATCATTGTGCATTACTGCAAACACAACATGACAACATTGAAAATGAATCATGCTATAATAGGTAAATAGGTAAATATAGTTAAGTAGCAAATTTAAGTATACCCCTACAGGCAATTCACATATTTTGACCATATAGCTAGACCTCCATGACAAATCTAATATTTCTAATTTATTTTCTAGGCCTAAATTTTGGCAAAAACTGTATGAAAGTTTTTAACTTAATAAATAAATTACTAAATGTTTTTTAATTGATTTCTTTTTTTTAAATTTGATATTAATTCGTGTCTTGTGTAATTTTAAAAGTGATATTAAACATGTGTGATGTAAATAAATTGTATGACAACTCATTAAAACATAAACATGTTCATTATTTCGACATTATACAACAAACATTCATCTGCCCCGACTGTACATGTACTGTACTGATGACTTAACTATGACATATTTTAACCTACATGTATATAAATTCATATATCTAAAACTTAAATTTTAGTCTATGATATTCAAGACTTTGGTTTCTCATAGAAACTGTGTATATTTTATGTTCTAATTTAGCAGATTTAGGTCACCTGTACACAGACAATTGCTCGGTTGACTATAATCCTGGACGTTTACAACAGCATTAATACCTAAATCTAACAGGTATATTAAAGGACCAAATAACTTTCACTTCAACAGTTGTCTAACTGCTGGGATACGTATACAACAATCATACAATGTCCCTGGCTGTCTCTTTATTACCTCAATAGATCATCTATAATTACCAATAAACTTTTCTGTATTATTCTAAAAATCTCCCTTACATCACCTAGACTTATATCTTATCCCTGTAGACTTATCTACCAGCCATGAGGATAATTCTTGGTTAAACAGATGCTTTGATAACACAGTGTACATGAGATTATAGGAAGATTTCTAACTGTCAGTCATGGAGGTCATAAAATGTGAAATATGGCAATTTAATATACATATCACTGGACGATGATCAATATTTCAATATCAAAACAAGATAATTTAGTCAGTATAGTCATTCAACTGTCAAAATTATGTTTCATTTTCTAAACTTAAGCTTTAAGATATTTTTGAAAGATTAAATTTTTTCATACACAGGATAACACTGTTTACTTTCTGCTGACTGCTGTAAAAAAATATAAGACTGCAATTTCTAAAATGTACTCTATAAAATGAAATCAAAATGTTCATATACGAGTACTTGGTTACATAACTGAGGTTCAGGCATTTCACTTAATATGCCAGTAACAATAAATTCTAAATAACTTTTCTATTGTGTTAGGAAAAGCAAGAAAATACAAATCTGTAAGTGCAGTAAGACCATTTTTGTCATTTATTCATAGCTTAAGAGGAGATGATTCCTTAACTTAACAGTTAGTGATTCATTAAAAAAATTCCCTGAACGATCTTTAGGGTTAGGGTTAGGGTTAGGGTTAGGGTTAGGGTTAGGGTGTGTAAGGGGGAGGGAGGGGGGTTGAATGAAAGTGATAAGCCATTGCCACAAGCATACAGCAAGGCCAACCTACACATATGTTTAGTCTGACCAAGCTCAATACAGTTGTCTTATTAACTAATAATTTCTATCTTGATCTCCCCAAGACTGATATATTGTAATGGACAATTCCAAAAAAAATTGAAGCTTGAGAAATTCAATCTATTTAAGAAAATCAACAGGTTAAAGGTTGAGAAGAGAGAATAACTTACAGTTGGTGTTGTAGATGGTCTATTCAGCACCATTGTTTCTCTTCTCACATCGGCTACCTGACTTGACGAGAATTCTCCCTGGTACGCATATTACGTCTACGATCTAGAAAATCCAAATAAGCATCACTATAAATAGGTCTATCATAATACATGCCCGAGTAATATGTGCTCGTGTAATACGGTCTGTAGCCACTGCTGTAACGGCCATAGTATGACATGGTTACAATGGTCAATCAACTACCAGTCCTTACTGGAAAACCAGTTCTTACTGGAACATACAAATAGCCCGACCTATGTAGAGCACTACAGCCACAATCTTGTATAAGTATACTGTCTCTGTCTTATCTTTCAATATACAAACATTTCTAAATTATGTTCATACAACAAACAATCAAATTTCAAAGTATCTTCCTATTCGTTGTGACAATGCATCTATCCAACAATTGTCCAATAATCACTATATTTTTATAAATTAAATAATTCAAATTTTGTTCTGAACCCTCTCAAAGTGAAAATGATGTCCTCCTAGATTCATGATGCTCATAATTTATGTACAAACAATTTATTCCAGCACACTTAATGTTGTCAAAGGTTTAATTGTCTAGTTTTATTACATACATTACAGACCACAAGGTATTTTATTATCTTATATTGATTCTGGTCACAGATCTACACCTACATTAAAACAACCATCACATCATTTGTTCAGTCAATGTTACAATGTTCTCTTCTTTTTTGCATGATTGACCTTCCAAGATTTCATTACAAATCAATAAGAATCTGTTAAATATTTCACTTATTGTAAATGTCACATTTGTTAAACAAGTTTGAAAATGTCTCCTACATCCTCTCCTTATAGCATTCATCACATTTTGAGTTTGAAATAAATTTAAATAATACTGGTGTTACATTTTGTATTTTATTAATGTTACTTAGATAACTTAAAGCTCCTGCCACATTTTCAGTACAAACACATTTTCATATTGCCTTGTCAAATGAAATATTAACATTTCCTACTAAAAAATGTATATATCCCTTAAACATTTATACACATTTCCTTAACTTTCACTTTTTAGCATGTTTTCTAAATTTTATATTTCACCAACCATTCATTACATATTAACATCACATTTGGTCACATCTATGTTTTCTGTAACTGCCTTGTTCTCTTTATTTTTCCTTTTCAAAACCCAAAAGGATAATCATTAGAAATTCACTTGAAAAAAAATATTGTCATATAAAACCATATCCTCTTCTATCTTTCACTAAACACCTTACTAAGTCTCTAAATTTGCTCATTTTAAAGGTCAATCTATCCCTAACATTCTATAGTTTATTGGAAATCATTTGTGATTTTAACTACTGAAAGTATATAAAACTTAATATATATAGGCAAACAAACAGTCTACAGTGAGTAAATGGAGAAAAAGTGAAAATCAAATAAACTCAATGATTGACCTATACAAAATGTTCAAGTGTTAATTATCAATATTTATTTACTATCTTCTTCAGTACAATGAAATAATGGATGAACTATTTTAAAGTATAAATTAAATGAAGATCAGCAAGATTTAATTTCAATATAGTATTTGAAGCCTTTGATTGTTTCATCGCTTTTGTCTTGTTTGTTTGGCTTTGTTTTACGTGGATTTTAACTGTTGAGTCACATTTTTGGTAATATCTCGACATTCGGTACACCTAACCAGATTTCCTTGGTAACTAACTAGTAATTATCAATTTCACTGCAAGTGACCAATTATTAATCTCACATGATTTCTGAATCTAAGATGAGAGGCAAATGATTATAAGATTCAATGTCAAAGATCAATAATTGTCACAGAGAAATTTTTCCTGGCCTGAGGATTGAACCAGCCACCCCATGATTATAAACCTGATGATCTCCTTACTGAAGTATAAGCCAGGGCACAAATTTTCCAATTTTATTTCATTCTACCTACTAAGTGTTTATATTACAATGCCAATGATGTCATGAAGTTCATGATTTAAAAACATGTTAAAGGGCCTTAACTCTACAAGAATTGTCAAATATGATTATGCAAAACTATATCTATTAAATAAAATCAATGATTTCTAATTTTGTCCCAAAGTGTGCGATGATAACTGGCTGTCTTTAAATATTTCAATATATATATATACTTTCTTTCATGTCCTTAAGCTCTTGAACTCAACTTTATAATTTCATCAATGATTTTAGAACAGAATTTGACTGAGAGTGATCATTATTTATTATCTAAACAAGGGAATGCTTTTTCAACATACAGTATAAAACTATCATCATGTAATACAATATCTTCCTATATTGACTAAATTACTTCAGTTCAATCATACAAAATACCAAACTTTTCATTTTTCCACTTCACATTTTTACCTTTATTTAATATATAACTTATGTTTTAAACTTTCAATTTACTTTAATACATCTTAAAGGCTTGAATCCACTTTTATCTACTTTAAAACTCTTGAAATACATTCAAAGTACAATCTATAACCCTTAAAAGTCAATGATAGATTTACTGAAGAGTTCACTGGTATAGTGAACATTCCTACAACAGACCATGTTTGTCCCGTGCACACCTGACACGTCCTACAATAACAAAGCTTAAGACACACTTTATGTTGTCCATAAAAAGTTGCAGTAACAGCATACAGAATCCTATTTAAAGTGAACAACCATGAGCATTAGAATTTAGTGAAGTTATTTACTAATTGAGTATACCCTTGAAACACTGCAGTCAAAGTTTGAAATGTATTAATCAAAAGAGATGTAAAAAATGAAGAAAAAATCTGAGTTGCCTTAAATAAATAATATATAAACCCACTTTGAGAGAGTTACCTTTCTGCACAGATGGGTAATATGAAATAGCTTAAAGTTCAAACAACTCAAGTTAAGGCATAAGTGGATTACCCATATCAATGTTTTCAAGTCAAAAAGGCATAATTCTGTCAAACTGACAGATTATGTCCTCTGTCTGTTGATGAAGGTCGTGATGTAAACAAGTATGTCAGTTTCAACATACTCCAATGGTTTTGAATAAGTGAGGACAAAAACTACCAAGTCAATACACTTTCTAGTCAAAAAAGGGCATAATTCACGCCGACGCCGACGCCGGGGCGAGTAGGATAGCTCCCCTTTTCATAGAAAAGTCGAGCTAAAAATTAAAAACTAACTGGTGTCACTGTCAAGTTAGTGACAGTCGACACGAGTACCCATACGGTGACAACAGACAGGTCATCAATATTAATCTATAAATAATTAATATTATTATTAAGGGAGATAATCCTGTCATTAAAGGAGATAATCCTGTCATTAAATGAAGAGATAAAAAAACTTGTAAGCAAACAAATCATTTATTATAATAAATCCGCGTGCATGATAAGGCACATATTATTTTAGCATAATTAAGTAAACCTCAGCTTGCTGGAGGGCTAGAGGTATAAGAGACTTACTTAAATTACCAATATGCTGATATGAAGACAAATTCTTTTATTTTATACGGATTTTACCCTAAACTTATTGAGTTATATCCTGGATGGTTTCTTTCAACTTTCATTGTCAAACTGTCTATGATATGATATTATGATAATTAAATTTCAGAAGTTGGTCAGCTTAGACTGATATGCCAGGCCATATTGCATCAAGGTGCCTATTGACAAATTGGTCAAGGCTTTATAGAGTTTGATTCTAGCAGTGTTAAAGTTAAAAGCACAATTTCTTTGTTAAAAGTGCTATAGTGATTCTGTAACATTAAGGGGAAGTGAGTAGATGCTGAAAGCTACTCCATTCTATATTTTAAATTCACCAGCAAGGAACATCAATAAAATCCTCAATCCAAATTCTAACTTGATAGATTTTCCACTGAAATAATGCAATCTTTATACATAGGATTCAAACTCATAAAAGATAAAAAATTCCTGTCCATATGATTAAGTATTTTTTCATTTTATTTATGATATAATTAATGAGTTATGTTTAACATATAAATAAGATATACGGAGTACATATAAAATAATTTCAAACCTATGATAATCACTGAAATCACTAATTTTCTTATAATAAAAAAGGACTTCCATATCAAAGCTGAAAATCCAGTTATATAGCGACAATGTAAATGCTGAGGAATTTAAATAATATGAATGAATCAGTTGGCTTTTAAAACAATAATTTATTTTAAATTTTGATATTCAGCTCACAAAAAATAGCAATAATTGAAAACTAAACAGATTCTAAAGAGAAATGTTAATTCAACAGTTATTTAGCATCTTCACTGTATAAACATTTTTCACGCAATAAACACACAGAGGCCCACATGGAAGATCGGGAAACCGAATGTGTAAGCCTCGTTAAATAAAGTCGTTACTTACTTACTTACTTACTTACTTACTTACAGAAAAAAAATACAGAAAAAAAAAACATGCAAACTCAACCAGTCTTTACCAGTGATTAATGCTTCCAAGGGATCACACTTTTTCCAGATTTTGATTAAATTTTGGATGAATAAAAATGTAAAATTGATAGTCAGAAAGTAAAAACTCTAGTGAGAATATTAAGAGATCAATAAAATATCTTACAAGCTGTTCTATTCCGTTGTCTCCAGTGATCGATGACATCTTGTATGGCCATATCATCTACTGTAATATTAGCCCAGTCTAATATAGTCCACATTCCAGGACCCATTCTTATATATATACAATATCCTCTCAACTTATATATATACAAATATCACTTCCTGTTATTCTAAATATATTACTATTATATTCCTCCCTGTGTCGCAACTGTAACATTTATCTTACATTTTAATATTGGAACTAATTATAGTCCTAGAAAACATTGTTTATCTAAATAAAGCAAGTTAAACTGTTCACATCTACAAGAAGCTTAATTACCACTATTGTCACTTAAACAATATATTTCCCTTTCATTTTAACTGTTCATATCCAAGCAAGTTCTTCTTATTTAAAATAACTTTCATTAGAATCAGCTTATATACTAATTATAATACGGTAATTGTTGACATCATCAAAATTAATCTTCTTTTTAAGAATTTTGTCCTTTAAAAAAAACAGATAAAATATTATCATATATTAATTTAATATTTGTCATGAAATCTGCCGTTTATTACAGCTGGACGCCCACAGTGAACTCAGTTATAAAATAATTTGTTACGTTTATCAGCACACTTCATTTGTTTAATATCGCTAATTCTATTGTAGGTATTGTGGCGAGTTGATCAAATGAAATAACAAGCTGTGAAGTTAACTCTATCAAATGATTTGTTAGTTTTTGGATTATAGCGCCTTCAACTGTCAAAAACACGACTGACCAATCAGAGACGAGGATTTATTAAGGAGGATTATGGGTAGGACTGGTTTATGACAATCAACTGTTCGGTCGGTCTTTATTTCAATCATAAATTCTATCAGTATTTTATTGATCATAATAAGTATGATACATGGCATGTGTTTTTCTGTTTATTAAATATATAATTGTATTGTCTATATAATTTTATAGTACTTTGAACATTTAATATTTCTAAAGATAATTACCTCCTTTTATGAAGATAACACTAAATGAAGACATACATGTAGTGCATTACTGTTATATTACAACAAAAGTAAGGTAGAGCACTTAACTATACAGAGTACTTGGTAGTAAAAACAAGAGCCTGGAAGATGAAGATTTCATTAACAATACAGGACAATCTTACAGTGTATTTCTCTGACTATATGACTTTTTCTTCCAATAAGTCTTGTGTATTGACCAACATATTTTTTAGTTCACAAAGGGATATATTTCATTTAAATTCCATGTGAAAAGTCATATGCCTTAGAAAGTGACATCAGATTATGATCCCAAAAACTCATTACTGAAAGTTTCAAGCAGATACTGAAGTTTGATGTTACATACAAAACTTAGGCAAATAATTTTTAAAATGTTCACTAAATGCCACTACTGTCAATGTCTGCTGGCAAAATAAGACAGGAATAAAGGTTATATAAGTAAAAATTTATGCTCAATTTCAGGGACATTAAGTGACATATACAATAATGATACAAGGAACATGTGTGAAAAGCTTAGAATATGAGGACGACTCGAACATACCCCCATGAACATGATTTAGGTAACAAATGTACTATAGGCACAAACAAATGTACTATTGGCACAATCAAGGTTACAGAAATAAGCTCCATTATTTCCAAATTAATGTAGGATCTGCCTACTAGTCCACAATCATGTAACCTAAATCTTGATTGAATCATTATAAAATAGTCTTCACTGTAAGAGAATCAAAACCTAAGGTTACTAATATCAAGTGACATTAAGCCTAGAGAGATGACCACAACGCTCACTTCACTGCCAATATCAAGTACTGTTAACTCCTTGAATCAAGCACTCTCCCAGAGAATATATTACAGAATTAAGGACTCTCAATCCACGCTCAATACCCACTCAATCTCTGTCCTGATTTAACGGTCAGATTTATTTGTGTGATCTGACGTTAATTATATAACAAGTGACACATTAAAGGATTAATGAAATTAATCTGTTAACTACAAGAAAAGATTAAACTTTTGTCACCTTCGCCTAATTCCTTAACGAGGGCTTTCACTGTATAATTATATCAAGACTATCTAATCCTCTAACAATATTATTATAATACAATAATAATGAATATTATTAAAACAAAACTGAGAGAATGTTAATACAGACAAAATAACTTGTAAAAAAAAGATTGCGGCAAAATTTTAAATTTTAGTATTTAGATTAACTAGATATGAATGGAACTTAATGAGAAGTAGGCAAATCTCACAAAATAACCCTTTTAGTATTAATTTATTCTTAAAACATATTATCTTCAAATTAAGCACATCAATATCAAACATGTCTGATTTTAATGCAATGAGTATTAACATACAGAAAGTTGACAATTTCAATGAAAACAGTTTTGAATATCCACCTGACATTGTATATTGTATATAAAACTACAGGACAAATGACTTTCGTGTTGGTAAAACTACATGACAAATTACTTTCATGTTGGTAAAACTACAGGACAAACAACTACATGTATAATGTTGGTAAAACTACAGGACAACAACCATCATGTTGGTAAAACTACAGGACAAACAACCATCATGTTGGTAAAACTACAGGACAAACAACTATCATGTTGGTAAAACTACAGGACAAACAACCATCATGTTGGTAAAACTACAGGACAAATGACTTTCATGTTGGTAAAATTACATGACAAACAAATATCATGTTGGTAAAACTACAGGACAAACAACCATCATGTTGGTAAAACTATGGACAAACAACTATCATGTTGGTAAAACTGCAAGACAAACAACTATCATGTTTGTAAAACTACAGGACAAACAACTTTAGTGTTAGTAAAACAACAAGACAACAACTATCATATTCGTAAAACTACATAGCAAATAATTATCATGTTGTTAAAATTATGTCATTCAGCAATATGAAAATCCTTGACAATATTTCTGATGTTTTCAACTGAACTTTATTTCCTTCTTAACCATATCAATGCTACATATCAATCTACCTTACTGAATGTATCAAACTTTCAAATGATGTATTTGTTATTCTTATATGCTGTACAAATGCTGTATATGGGTCAGATTCCTCAGTATGAAATAAACTTTGATGAAACTATAAAAGAAAAGTAAATAACTTAGAATTTAATACATATCTAATTCTGTGCTGACTTTCTTAAAAATGTTATGTTTAAGTACATGTGGTTATTATCACTAGATATATATGTGATTTGTTTAACTAGTATTTTGTTTGTCTTAGCCAAGGGCATATAATATTGTATGCTGATTATAGCTTTTAAATGAGAACATTTATTAATATTTGACTGGTTATGCAACCAGCTTAGAGAAAGGCCTAAATATATTTTCAAAATATATACTAATAGAATAGTGAACAGTGCAGACCAGAATCATCAGACATTACCATTATGCCAGCTGATCTTGGTCTGCACTGTTAACACTGGTAAATTCAGTTGCTGCCAGCTGGCTAACAAGCTAAAGATTCAGCCAGTTAAAACACTGGTAAATTCAGTTGCTGCCAGCTGGCTAACAAGCTAAAGATTCAGCCAGTTATAACACTGGTAAATTCAGTTGCTGCCAGCTGGCTAACAAGCTAAAGATTCAGCCAGTTATAACACTGGTAAATTCAGATGCTGCCAGCTGGCTAACAAGCTAAAGATTCAGCCAGTTATAACACTGGTAAATTCAGTTGCTGCCAGCTGGCTAACAAGCTAAAGATTCAGCCAGTTAAAACACTGGTAAATTCAGTTGCTGCCAGCTGGCTAACAAGCTAAAGATTCAGCCAGTTATAACACTGGTAAATTCAGTTGCTGCCAGCTGGCTAACAAGCTAAAGATTCAGCCAGTTATAACACTGGTAAATTCAGTTGCTGCCAGCTGGCTAACAAGCTAAAGATTCAGCCAGTTATAACACTGGTAAATTCAGATGCTGCCAGCTGGCTAACAAGCTAAAGATTCAGCCAGTTATAACACTGGTAAATTCAGTTGCTGCCAGCTGGCTAACAAGCTAAAGATTCAGCCAGTTATAACACTGGTAAATTCAGTTGCTGCCAGCTGGCTAACAAGCTAAAGATTCAGCCAGTTATAACACTGGTAAATTCAGTTGCTGCCAGCTGGCTAACAAGCTAAAGATTCAGCCAGTTATAACACTGGTAAATTCAGTTGCTGCCAGCTGGCTAACAAGCTAAAGATTCAGCCAGTTATAACACTGGTAAATTCAGTTGCTGCCAGCTGGCTAACAAGCTAAAGATTCAGCCAGTTATAACACTGGTAAATTCAGTTGCTGCCAGTAGGCTAACAGGCTAGCGATTCAGCCAGTTATATAGATGCTGACAACATGGTGAGAAAGATTACTACATACTTATACTTTAAAACATAGAGCTAAATACATCAACAATTATATAATTAATACTTTAATCAGGTTATTAACAGGTTAACACCTCTCTCTCTCCTACTTAATGTTACTATATTAAAACATGACCTTAATCTTTTAATTCCAACTTTATTCAACATGGTCTGATTAGAAAATACAACTCTTTGAAGAATTTACTTTGACCAAGTGTTGACCATAGCAGAGTATTTTTTCCAGGATTTTGGTAACATGACCCATACCCATGGCATTGGGAATTTCAGCAATGTTTTATCAAAAATTGGGGAAAAAAGCATAACTTAAATTTTGAAGAGATTAAATGAATGCAAAGAATCACTGTCTAGGAAGGCATCTTCAAACATTTAAGCACCTCAACAGTGAAGAAGCCCTTATTTTCAAAGATTTTAGAATTTGTATTCAATACTTTTATTTTGTTACTTTCAATTGGGAATTTTTTCCTGTGGAATGGGAAAATAACATACTATTTTCAAATGGGAATATAACCGAATATTGTTTATAAAATAAGCCAAAAAAATCCCTGCAAAAAATACATTATAACTTTATATTGAATTTGTTTACATGTATTTAAACTTACCAAATTACAACAAATCAAGTTCCAGCTCAGCTCATGTTTCATTTAGTGAACAATAACAAGTATAATTAACTTATTTGAGGACAGACAAATCTTAAGAGGAACCTGTCATTAAAAAAGCTTCACCAACCTAATTTTCAACCTGTAATACAGACTGCCCTAATGAAATGTCTTGGATAAAAATCATTCTTCCTTGAAGTAAAGGTACAAGAACTTTTATTTGGATTGTACATGTTACTTTTATCTAGACAAGCGTATCATCATTAAGTGTATGGCTCCTAAATTATACAGTCAAGAATTACTTGGTAATTTAAATACCTGCAATAGTAATCTCTTTTTTTGTTTGTTTTTATTGGGTTTTACATCACACCGGCAGAGTAAAGGTCATACCGCCACGTTCTAGCTTAACTGGTGGAGGAAGACCTCAGGTGCCCTTCCGTGCATTATTTCAGGCACAAATGGGTACCTGAGTAGAACCACCGACATGCAATAGTAATCTTAGCTAGTAAATAATCTACATTACCTCCAGACTCTACATCCACTGATTTCCCATCCTGAGTTTTAATTGTTGGTCCCTGTCCCTCAGCCCTCTGAGCCCAGCGCCCTCGGGGAGCCGGACCTGACCCAGCATCATCATCATCATCTGGCTTATTCTCAGTACTTTCTCCAGATGAATCCTCAAACTGTAACAACCAATCACCATCCAGTTAATTTATGTAAATCTTTCAAAAATTATATGTCCTCATTAAAATAATTACGCCTTTATGCACATGTGTATATCTTACTGTATAAAACAGTAATAGTTTTATTTTATAATTTCTCTTTCATGTGCCAAAGGGGCTTGTCTTATTGTAGAGTCTGGCATGTTTAAGTCATTTCCTTTGTTATTTATCATATCAATTCAAGAAGCTTGAATTAAAGCAAAACAAGTTCTGATGATAATAATAATATTGTCAGATATAAACTGTGTTGGGTTATAAATATTTTTATCACAGGTTTTCTATTAGCATTACTGAATACATGTAGTCAAGGACAGATATCAGACAAAAGTTATCTTCTCCTTTTATACATGTAACATTGCAAAAGTATTTTTATGTAACTGTGTTGTCATGGTAACAAATACTTCAATATAATTTGACTAATATAACTAGGTGATTTTTGTATCTTCATTTTTTTCCAATCAATAATGGACAAAGAAAGAGTGTTATTTTGAACTCATAGAACAAACTATTAGCAGAAAGTAAAATTTGAGGCTATCTGATATATTTTTTACCTTTTTCTTTGCCCAGCTTGGAAGTTGACTAATGCTGAACCTGTAGTCCAGATTATCCCTGGGTGAGGGGGAGGGACTGTTACTAATGTTGTTCTGACTACCACAGTACTGGGCCGGGTACATCTCCTTTAGTACTCTCTCTGGACTGAAATATTCCCTCTCTGGTGCCACACTACCATCTATATCATCATTCTTAAATACTTTCAGTGGATCTAGTCTGTAAATACATATAAATAAAATAAATCTGTCAGTATCATGTTGCTTGGATGCAGAAAGATTTTTTTCCCTCATAACATTGTCACAACCTATTATTTTCATGTTCCCTTAAGAGATAAGATAAAATATAAACAAATTTGATATGTATGTGTTTTCTATAGTAAACAAAGAGTAAATAGCTTCTCCTAAACTTACTTAATGCTTCCATTAGTTAAATGTGGTAATATTTGTCCCATTTCCTTCAGTCGACTCTGCATCTGGTTGGTCATATCTTGAGGTAATCTCCACACAAATATACACCTGTAAATATATTAATTAATTTTCAAATTATCCTTAAAATAAAGGAATTGCAACGTTTTTTTTTTATTGGTAACAATTTTTGATAAGTTATATGTCCTAATTTTTCAAACTGTTATTCTCTATATAATACTCACCAAGTACCCAAGGTCATATAAGGTTGCAACCATATACAGTGTAACTTCTGAATTCCGGAACTTCTTAAATCCGGAAACTTCTGAAATCCGAACATTTTTCAGGGTCCCGAAATTTCTCTTTCTGTTTTCTATGTAATAAATACCTCTGAATTCCGGAACTTCTAAATTCTGAATTCCGAACGATTTTCTGGTAAAATTTGGGTTATATCAATTCAAATTTACTTCCAAAATCCGGAAATTGAAAAAGGGTGTGAAGGAATATTATAATTGAGATTGTAAAACCTTCAAAATGTCAGTATCTTCCAATTAGCAGAAACCATTTATCTTGACACCTATTACAATCACAACTTGTCAAGCATGTCAAACACTTGATTAAAGTGTGAAAAATCAAAAATGAGAAGTATATTGTGATGAAAAACAAAAAATACAGTTTATTAATGGGAAACTTTGTTAATAGCTGGTACAACGTGACATTATATATGCTTTGTATCAACAAATTCAGTTATAAGTGATAATGAAATTTAATATAGAATATATATGTAGTTGTAACTTTTTAAAAGTCCTATAATTTTGCCATTTTATGAATTTAATAAGCTTCCTTTATTGTTCTTCATGTCTGAAACAATTGAGGTTCAATGTTAACGTACTTGTTCAGATAATTCTGAACTTCTGAATTCCGGAAACTTCCAAATTCCGAACTTTTTGGCTAGTCCAACAGGTGTCCGGTTTTCAGAAGTTACACTGTATATTGCGCCATATATCCTGTCAAAAATCTTGATAACTAAAAAACTACATTCTTTTACATTAAGTTAAAATCACACCACACAAAATAAACCCCTGGTCATATATACAGAAATATAAAAACATGTATTAGTTATAAAACAACTGTATAAAAATATCACTGAAAACTTCAATCTTGTTCTGAATCATTACATTGATAATATTATTACACATGGAAAGATTGTGAAATATTTAGATCAATATAAAGTTACAGTAATCATGTTACCGGGGAAATAACCTGTTTATACAGCAATGATATGTTTCTGTCATCAATATTATAGCTGCCAGGTTTTCTTTGTTTATTTTAAGAGAAATATGAGAAGTTTTCAATAACCAGATACAGGCAGCTATCTCAATAGCAGACATTGTGACAGTAAACATGATTTCCAACTTTTACAATAACTTGGTTTTTATGCAACAATGATAAAATGATTCTGTAATATTTCTGAGGAGTAATTCTGTAATATTTGTGTTAATATGTTTGTAATATTTCTGACAAGTATTTCTATTGTGTTTCTGACAAATACTTAAATAATATTTCTGAAAAGTGTTCCTGTAATATTTCTGAAAAGTATTTCCCTAATATTTCTTACATGTATTTCTGTAATATTTATAAATTGTTGACATTTTAGTTATACTGGTGGATAAAAACACTGAGCACTCCCTCATTTAAGATTTCAGGGACAAGCAAACCATCTTTTTTTATATTCTTATAGCAAATAAATCCAGAACATTCAGATAAGATTGCATTTATCCATCAATATATTGCTTCTCAATCATATAAAACAGTATGTCATTATAAAAATTCAGTTTGCACTAGAATATTCAACAGTTTATATACATGTATAGTGTAGGTCAAAGGTCAACTTACCCATCACCTGACGTAGATATCAAATGTCTTAGATCATTCATGAATCTCACATCTGTAGCAATCTCCGAGTGACCAAACATCGTAGCTTGTAATTCACCAGAATAGAAGTCTATTATACAGAGGTTCTTATCACTACAGCTTGTGACAGCAAACGTGCCGGAGGGGTCAAGTTTCATTTTGAGTAACGTACCATCATCTGATAGCGAACCCTTGTATTCCTTCTTCTTCTTTCCTGTCTTTATATTGTAGATCCTTAAATATCAAAATAATTTCATATCATACACAGAAATTGTTTAAACACTATCTAATCACACTAAGTAAAATATATTCATTTAAAATGAAGCAAATATTAGACAAAACTGACAAGGAAAGTATTCTAAAAGTAATATCATAATCAACATAACAAGAGTTCAACATAACATTTTATCACATATCTGTGCAGCTTTTGCAACTCCTTTAAAAAGGTTTTGCATGGCCGTGCATACAATTATTATAGACAAGTTAGTACCTGACATTTCTATCCTGGCAAGCTATGGCTGAGAATTTATGAGTTGGTTCAACTACCATGTCATATAATGTTGTCTTCTCTACTTGATGTGTAGCTAATGTAAACTGAAACTCTGGATCCTGAAATAATATAACATCATGTGTAGCTAATTAATGTAAACTGAAACTCTGGATCCTGAAATAATAGGACAACGTATAATTAATAAAACTTCCCTTTCTACTATATGATTTTTTTTATAATGGTTTTAAGGGGCACCGACACAATTTAGGCCATATGGCGCGAGACAGCAAAATCTGATTTAGGCAAAGCTTGGGAGTTACAAAAACTCCAAATAGCGCCAGGGGTCAGAACCACCTCACCTGCTGGAACTAAGAGATGCATAGACTCAAAACTCAAAATTCAAACCCATTTATAATCATGCAGGAATAAGCTGTGGCTGCAATTCTGATGCCTCATCCCTCAGCCACAAGGGGATTATCACTGTGTTAGAAAACCTCAAGAAATTCATAAACTAATTACCCAGTTTCGTTAATATCTAAACTTGAAACACATACTGATGTGTGTATTAACATAAACACCAATAATTTTCAAATTATCCCTGATATCAATTAAAATCAACCAATAATAATTTTCTTTATAATTCAACAAGCCAACAAATATGTCAACAATAATACATATAATTTTTATTTTATAATCAGAATATAAATGTCTCATTTTGGCTGTTAAATTAACATTCTGTTATTTAATATAATATTATATGCAAGGGAGATAACACCTACCTGTTGTAGATTTCTGAACAGTATAGATTTATCTGCCCCACACGAGATCATTTTTAACTCGTTATCTGTGTCGGTGAATTTAACAGCCGAGATAGAAGAGGAATGATCAGATAATGTTTGTAACAGACCATACTGTTGTTCCGTGTCAAACACGTGGATTAATCTGTCACGACTAGATGATGCAAGTAACTTTGGTCCTGAAATAAACATAAATAAAATAATTTATTTTGTGTATGGAACCGTAAGAAATTATGTATAAAATTTTTCAAGCAATAAAATCATTTGGCTTTATAAATCTAAAATTTTATAGCGAACTTTTCACAAAATTGCAACTTATATAACTAGTATTCTTTAACGCTGTAAGAAATCTTTTTCAACATTATATTAATTTTTACAACAAATAGATGTTCAAATGATTTATTTTACTACTATTATACAGTCAAAAAAATCCAAACCAAACAATAATTTATTTTCATTAAAATTAAATCATTTCAAAATATTGTTTTTTTTTTCTATTATTTACACTATTATAGATGTCTTAAGTTATACTAAGATGTGTTTACCATTTTTCCAGCGAGAATATTCGAGACATAAGACCTCGGACTCGTGAGCTTCTATCTGTTTAATCTCTATCAAATTCTCTAACTCATGAATTCTGTAACATATAAATTATTATTACATGTACATCCGTAGTAAATTATCTTAACTACTTTAAAACTGATCATGATGAAGGTCCACCCTGAAACTTTCACCTTAGTTTGACGTGTTATATCTATCAACCATTTATAATTGTGCTGTATTTAAAAACATGACCACGCAATATGTATTAAGTGAATTTCTACATAAAAACCTTTTTTGAAGTGTAATTATTTTCAAAATGATATAGAAAATTTGCATTAAACACTGAATGTTTGAAGTGTATATAATTGAAAGTATGTATATAAAATTTAAAGTTTCATTAAACAATTAATTCATTGACTGAACAGTTTAAAATTACTATAAACATAATTTCATGTAAAATGTGGATTTCTAATATAAGATTACCTGACATTTCCTTGTCTGTCACCGGAAGCTAAATGTTGACCATCCGGACTGACTCGTATAGAACGTATACCATTCTTGTCATCATAGTTTGTGTCCGTCTTATCAGTAGCACCAGCTGAAACATACATATACATGCATACATAATGTTGATATTCAAAACATTGAAATTGAATTAGTGTTGCAAATATCATTGTTTCTTCATTTTCTAGCACACACTATTAAGAAATAATATGTTTGAGACAAAAAATACAATAGAAGGAAACATAATTTTCACATACAAAACCTAGAAATCTCTAAAAGCAAATTATTTATCAAGTATTGATATCGTAATTTCTTAGGGCTTAGATTAGAAAATTAGACTGAAAGTTTACACACAAACATTTTTAAGAATATTCTCAGCCCATAATCTATTCAGTGTCCAGTGTATAATAATACTAAATACAATAAAATAAAACAATATAGTAACTTACAAGGATTATAGTCTATATCACAGAGAGAAGTTAAACTTGGGTCCATGTACATCACCTTCAATAAATCCTGAAAATATATTATGATATCATAAAATTTTATATCATCACATTTGTTTACTTGCCTTGTAAATGTTTAATTTGGAACAATTCAAGGTTCTCAAGATCCTTATCATATATTAAAGGAACTCCACTGAGGTACAAAAGCCTTAAAACATAAAATTTGAATTTCTTACATAGATCAACTGCGGCACTTAAAACAGAGAAATATGCAAAAAATATTTTAGAAATATATTTATTATAAATTGAAAATCGTATCTTTGTGCTACTTAAGCCCAATTTTAGTGAAAAGTGTTGCAACTATGGCTCATTTTTCACAATTAGAACAATCATTCTGGAAAAAACAGAGTGAGTGAATGATCTGAAATTTTAGCACACAAGTTACTGATCAAGATCTTCATCAAACGGATCATTTATCTGGAAAAAAAATTTCCAGTCCTGTCATGTCAAAAAACATTAGTGGAGTCCTTTAAAGAAGTCAGGAGATAGGTCTAGTCAGAGTGTACAGACATACCTGCTGGTCTAAATCTTAACTTGCCAATAATGCCAATATGACTCTAGCACTTCTAACATTGTCAACAAAATGTTTTGTAATAAAAAAGTTGAACATTTAAATATCTTACAAGCGGTATTTGAAAAGTTGCTGAAACGAATTTGAAATTGCATCTGTACACCGTTTACTTTTCTTGTCAGAAAATGTGCAAAGTATATCAATGCAAAATTTTACTCAAGTAACTCTATCCTCAAATAAGTTTTAAAACTTTTCTGGATACTTTTCTAACACCCCATGTATCCTGATAATAAAACCTGCACCTCATCTTGACTTAAAAATTGTTTGTTAAATATTGGATCGTGATGGTGCATCAAGAAGCCTTACATGAGATGAATGTATATAAACTCCATAATATTTGTTTTTATTTTCATTCAAAAATTACAGCTATTGCTACTATTGGAGTCAAGTCATTTTTAAACAAAGGTAAAATCTGTTTCTTATATTAATATAAGATAAAATTTGCTAAGCATGTAGTAAGATCATCAACCACACTCACAAACTTTGTACATATAGCATAAAACTTCCATCACATGTGTGCAGAAAACAATAAAATCAAATCTGTTTAACTTCCATGCTAGTAAATCTCTGTTACATTATTATTTTGTAAGTATAAAATGCTTGAAGCTTCTTCATCTTGTTAATATTTTATTCTAACTTTTCTATTTGTTCACTTGATTTAATACAAAATATCTTTAAATATCATTTATAAATTAACATACTTTATTTACTATTTATAAATACAGAAATCATAGATATCACCTACATAGAGTAAAGTTAATATATAGATATAAATAAACTTCAGTATGACTTCGACATATGACAGCACTGTATATATTAAAGCATATGGAAGAAACAGATAAACTAGCTTTATCTATATTAGTTCTATATTTCTTATTCAGAAAGAATGTACTAATATATAGAGGATATTGAATGAGTGTAGATTTAATGCTAAATTTATTGAACGAGTTGAATAAAATCATATTATGGGAGCCTCTGGCAAGCATAATATTGTTTTATTCAACAAGTTCAATAAATTTAGTATTAAGTCTACACGAATATAATATTCTATTTATCACATATATAAAATAAGAACAGTAAACTGTTAAAATGAGTAATTTTTCAATGATGCGCCTATAGTGTAACGCTAACATTAGAGCGCTTTAACGCTATGTTTATATATAGCGCAAATGACGTCTCGTTAAAGTGTTATTACACTTATGTAATATGGTTTTTATTAAATGGCTTTATTACACTCCTGAGCCACGGTTTATGTGATAAATTACTAGTATTGGAAAGCTGCTGTTGACTTCAATATTTTCATATATAGCTCCACTTAATCATAAAACAACATATTTGTATCAATCTGGTATAATAACAGGGCATTATGTTTGTTACACAAAATATCACTTCTATGTTTCACTAGGAGTCGAAAATTTTCAAAGCAAAAAAAATTATATAAATATTTCGAGAGAGATATGTACAAATAATGTGCTAAACCACCCTTGATTATAAAAATAACTCAAAACATTCCTTGAAATGTTAATAACACTACTGTTTTGTTTTTTTTTAATTTACAGTCTATAACTGGTAAAATATTCAAAGACATCTACAAATTATGACCTCCGGGAGAGACTATTGTATCTATGTGATTTTATAAATGCAGTAACAATAGTTTCTCTCAAAGGTAATTGCAGAAACTCAAGCCCTTCAAAAGTGTATAAATACTTACAATAGATGTTGCCTCCTTCAACATAAATCTTATTGTATTAACTTATTTTATATTACATAAAATATAAACATTTTATTATAATTCACCATGGATGATCAAATAATGAGAGTTTATACATCTAAACATGTCCACAAAACATGTTTTCATTAGTTCCCCATGAAATTATTTAAATCAATACAAACAAGAAATAATGATACGTGAAATTATTCCGAAAATTCACTATTTGTTTTATTTCCATCTTCTTCTTTATCATATTTCACTTCTATATCAAGTATTTTTGAGATTTTGCTTTTCTGTTTTCAGTCACACAAATATTATCAATTTCATAATTTCTAGCATGGGGTTGGGGTTCTAAACTAGATACACAACTTTCTTCACATGAAAGAATCCAAAATTCCTGGCAGGGTTCAAACACAACACTGAGGGGCAAGCAATTCTAAGCCAGTGACCGTAACCATATAACACTGGAAGGTGCTTTATATCCCTACACTGTTACATGACTGACTAACATTACTGGTGATAAAAAATGGAATATAAGAACCAACACCAGCTGCCAATATAGACCAGAATTTTTAGCTAAAGTGTAACTGTTTATGTTACAGTAAAGATGCTCTGTCAAGTTTCTGCTAAACAGTTACCCAAGATCTATATATTCCCGTCTGTAATGACATCTGGTGTTTGATTCTTTTTCTTGCATATCAGGAATCATATTAAATCATATTTTTGAAAGAAATAACGAAAATTAATATTTTCATTTAGTAATGTTCTTACAGTAGCATATGAATTTACAACATTCATAACGGTACCACAGCACCAGATCATTCACAAAAGTTGTACCTGAATGATCTGAATGATGTCATTAATTTTTAAAGCACACAACTTCTCTTACACACGGGGTCTTGTCTGATATGCAAAAAATGTAAGAGATTCAATTGAGAAGTCAGTAATTTCTGTTTATTGTTATTTTTTTATTTAATTATTGTAACATTCTCCCTTTTGCAGAATTTATATGTGAGTAAATATTGCTGTTCCTTTTCCATATTCCATATTTTTATAATTATATAGAATAGATATTGTTTTTTTATTCCACTAATTAAACAAGAGCACCGCTAGGCGGAGCATTATATGCCCGAAAGTATTTTTTTTTTTTTAGTAAGGATGACCTTAACCGTTGACCTTTTGACCCCAAAATCAATAGGGGTCTTCTACCCAATATGGACAATCATCCTGTGAAGTTTGAACATTGTGGGCCAAATGGAACTTAACATATGCTCCGGCAACTGTTTTCAGTATCAAGGTAATAGTGACCTTCACCTTTGACATTTTGACCCAAAAATCAACAGGGGTCTTCTACCCAATATGGACAATCATCCTATGAAGTTTGAACATTGTGGGTCAAATGGAACTTAAGTTATGCGTGGAAACATATTTTTCAGTATCAATGTAATAGTGACCTTCACCTTTGACCTTGTGACCCCAAAATCAATAGGGGTCTTCTACCCAATATGGACAATCATCCTATGAAGTTTGAACATTGTGGGTCGAATGGAACTTAAGTTATGCTCTGGAAACTGTTTTTCAGTTATAAGGTAATAGTGACCTTGACCTTTGACCTTTTGACCCCAAAATCAATAGGGGTCTTCTACCCAATATGGACAATCATCCTATGTAGTTTGAACATTGTGGGCCAATTGGAACTTAAGTTATGCTCCGGAAACTGTTTTCAGTATCAAGGTCATAGTGACCTTGACTTGACCTTGTGACCCCAAAATCAATAGGGGTCTTCTTCCCAATATGGACAATCATCCTATGAAGTTTGAACATTGTGGGTCGAATGGAACTTAAGTTATGCTCCGGAAACCGTTTTCAGTTTTAAGGTAATAGTGACCTTGACCTTTGACCTTTTGACCCCAAAATCAATAGGGGTCTTCTACCCAATATGGACAATCATCCTATGAAGTTTGAACATTGTGGGCCAATTGGAACTTAAGTTATGCTCCGGAAACTGTTTTCAGTATCAAGGTCATAGTGACCTTGACCTTTGACCTTGTGACCCCAAAATCAATAGGGGTCTTCTTCCCAATATGGACAATCATTCTATGAAGTTTGAACATTGTGGGTCGAATGGAACTTAAGTTATGCTCCGGAAACCGTTTTCAGTTTTAAGGTAATAGTGACCTTGACCTTTGACCTTTTGACCCCAAAATCAATAGGGTTCTTCTACCCAATATGGACAATCATCCTATGAAGTTTTAACATTGTGGGCCAAATGGAACTTAAGTTATGCTCCGGAAACCAAATTGCTAACGGACGGACGGACGTACGGACGGACGGACAGACGGACGGACGGACAGACAGACGGACGCCAGGGGGTATAACATAATATGCCCTTTCGGGCATATAAAAATGTGAAGACTTACATGTGAATAAATATTGCTTTTATAAGTTGGTGTTTCGGCCATGTGTGGGTCTAAGTTCCATATTCGTATAGTGTCATCGCTGGAACATGTGAAGAATGAATGTGGAGGCAGTACTGACTTCATGCCGGGCTCCAGTATTGGGTATACCTACAGATATAGTGACATAAAACAGAGAATTATATATAAATTAATCTTGTCTGTACATTTAGTGACATAAAAACATAAAACTGTATAAAAATTAATCTTATCTATCAAAAGATAAATACACAGTGTACGAGTATCCTAGAAAGTTTTACAGAAATCAAAGGAAATGGCCTTCAGTATTTTTCAAACAATACTAACAAACAACAATTGTAACTCAAATTAATTGCAAATATAAAAGCATATTGTTGAAAACTGTTCATTAAAGTATCAAAAGAGTCGAATTTTAAACACTAACAATATTTTCACGTCTTGATTAAAACCTAACTGATAAAACTGACCATCAAACACTATATATTTAGTAAAGTTTATGTATTTTTACCTCTACACCATACACACATGAACTATGGTAGAGGAATGACCAGGCTTTACCAATCTTCTTCAAGTCATGGACATCCCATATATACATACTGTGGTCATTATATATACATGTCACCTGAAAAAACAGCAGAAGTTAATATATCAGATAATTTTCTTAGTTACTTAGTTATAGATATTCTTGACAAGTTATATGGCCCTATATAAATGGTTGTTTGGAAATATGACCCCAGCCGCTAAGCGAGGGTTACATTGCAAACAACTGTTTATATACGGCAATATAACCTGTCAGAAATATCTATAACAAATTTATAATAAAGCAAGTATCTTTGTGGAGAAAAAAAAGTGAGATTTCTTCATAAATTGACAACAAATTGTATATAAAACAATATATACGTCACGATTATCCAATGAAAAGCAACGTTACAAACATGCAGTATTATGATATAATTTCTAAACAGCCTTGCAAGTATATAGGAGAACATTTTCAAATTTTCATGAACTGAGAAATTATATGCTTTCAATTTTTCTTTAGTAAAACTGATCATTATGCTGGATCATTCTTATATTAATTCAAAACTAAAACTATACAATAAATAAGATATAAACATTAACCATGAAAATAGCATTACTAGTAGGTCAGATTGCAAAAATATGATGGTTTTCAAGGCTCTCTATTGATGGTGAACTATAAACAAGAGCTGTCAGAAGGACAGCGCGCTCGACTTTTTTAGTGCTTGCCTATAAAACAAAACTTTGACAGTTAAGGGCACACAAGACTTTAACTAGGAATTTCTAAGTACAAATCAAGAAACATTTTCACAGAGTTATCTTCTCTTGCTTGCAGATAGGTCTCATGATGGCACATAAGAACTCCAACTTCCAAAGTAATATCTCAAATGGTTAAGTCAACAAGTGGACAAGAATGAAAATTTTAACTGAGTTTCTAAGTCAAAAAGGGCCATAATTTAAATAAAATCCTTAACAGAATTACCTTCTCCTGCCCATGTTTTGGGACCATGATGGTAAACAAGTATTCCAACTTTCAATTTAATATCTCAACCAGTTCAGTCAAAAAGTTGACTGGTACAAAAAAGTTAACCAAGATTCTAAGTCGATAAAAGGCCTTAATTTTTAAAACAAATCCCTGACAGAGTTACCTTCTCTTGCGTACAGATGGGGGTAATGATGTGAAATAGCATTAAAAGTTTCAAAGCAATATCTCAAAGGGTTAAGGCAATAAGTGGATTTTACCCATATTCAATGTATTTTCTAAGTCAAAAAGGGGCATAATTCTGTCAAAAACCTTGACAGAGTTATGTCCTCTTGTCTGTTGATGAAGGTCGTGATGGTAAACAAGTATGGTCAGTTTCAAAGCAATACCTCCAATGGTTTTGAAATAAAGTGAGGTGGTACAAAAAACTTAACCAAGCTCAATACACTTTTCTAAGTCAAAAAAAGGGCCATAATTCTGTCAAAAACCTTGACAGAGTTATGTACTCCTGTCTGTAGATGGAGGTTATGATGGTGAACAAGTATGGTAAGTTTCAAAGCCATACTTGTAATACTTCTGAAATAAAGTGGGGTGGTACGAAAAACTTAACCAAGGTGTGACGCCAACGCCGACGCCGACGCTAACGCCGACGCCGACGCCGGGGCGAGTAGGATAGCTCCCCTTTTCATAGAAAAGTCGAGCTAAAAATTAAAAACATAATAAAGAATGTTTAGTAATTTAGTTATCGGTTGCACAATAATGCAAAATTTAAATTACTACAGTGAGCAAGTTTATGGTTCAGTGGTAAATACAAGATAAATCTGCAATTATTACTGTCATCACTAGTATCTACAGAGATGAAAATACAACATAAAGAATATAAAGTAACATACCTTATTATGTTCCTCATCATATTGTATAGCTATCGTGTCAGGATATCTAATGTCTGTATCTTTTACAGAATTTAATTGACTGAAATATACATTGTAATAAAAAATAAAATTCTACATTGTGCTTGTTTAATGGTCAAGAGATTGGACAATCAATGCTCCTGAATTACAGACATTTGTATGTGATTTCAATTTTTCTTAAATGAAAAAAAATCATCAAAATTCAGAAGGTCTTCTTTAGTTTCCTGCAATAACAATTATTGAACACAAATTTCAATTAGTTTAATAAAACTAAGGCCAAAATAATACAAAAATGTAACATAATGGCAACAAAACTTTAGTAAGTCTTTTCAAATACAACCTCATAAAACATTACAAAGTCATTTTGGTCAAGTATTTTGAATCTGAGAAAAATATATGCCAACAAATGTTGTTTTGTATGAAAACATATATGGTACAGTACATTACTAAAGGGATAAATAAATGCAGAACAAATCTAGGTCCTTCTTTATAAATATTCATGGAGTAGTTTTATTTCTAAATACAGATCTGAATAATCATAATATAGATATATTTACCTTGGGTTGACAGCAGCAGCAATATCTACACCGAGGTAGTGAGGTCGTGGAAGTGTCGCCACATATTGTAACGTTGACGAGTTAAATACTCGCACTATACCATTAGCACAACCGACAAATATATATTTACCAGCCACTGATATAGCATTGGCACATGTTGACTGAAATAAGATACACGATAAAATTTAACAGAAAACAATTATGAATATTTTACAAAAGCAATATATAAGTACCATACCCAGCAAATCTAATTCCCTCAATATTAAAATTCTAAATAAGTTATAACTAGTGACAATTTATAACATTATCAAAGGTATTATTTCACTAAAAACGAAAAAACAAGATAAGAAAAATTATTTATTACATAATACAAATTTCCCCTTATTGCAACAGACATGGACTCTAGGTGAAATGATCAAAAACAAAATAAGTCATAATGAGTTGCATTAAATAACTGTTTTTTTTTATTAGAAACTAATAGATAATGGTTTTACAGCATAAAACACTACAAGCCAACAAATTAAAAACACCTTACATAAATCAAGTAGTACTAGTCAACCAATCAAAGACACCTTACATAAAACAAACATCATGTGCAAATTACAGATTCAAACCAGATTAAAAAAAAACAAGTGTTTTGCTGCATATTCTTATCAACATATACAAGCTTTACAAAGGAAATAAATGCCGAAAATAGTAAAATAATTTCTGCATTTTCCGTCCATTAATTTAGGACTTGTTAGCTTATATACACATACCCTCAGTTCTACCCATTTTTCCATCTGACGTTTCTCGTTAAACTGGCACAGATACCCAGACTGTGTCACACAGAATGTGCTCTTTTCTAAACTACCAGTGCCCGCAGCTACGTCACAGAAAAAATTGTTCCTATGGTCTCCCAATATACCATTTCTACCATTTAATGGTAATGTTATAGAGTTTATCTGAAATATAATGAGATCATATTTCAAACACAGTGGCCTATCAGAAATCTGGTTATTGTACTACTAAATATTATCATGTTATAAAAGTGTTGTTTTTTTTTTTTTTTTTTTTTTAGTTGTTGCTGTTTTTTTGTGGGGGTGTGAGAGGGGGGGATTTAGACCAGGTTGTATATATCTCAAATATGTCCTACCACCAATTAACAAAATATTTATCCTGCAAAAACAGAATTTGTCTACAAAAACTTTTGTCTTCATGTTTATATTACCAGACACAGTAAATTTAAGGTCTATATATAGAACTGTAAGAAAATGTAGTAGGAAACATATCAATCATGTCTACCTGTGTGTACCTGTATGTACAGCACTTACATTTGTCATTTACAACACAATCATTTATAACATGATGACTAATGCCATATAAACAACTTTAAAAAATATAAAATATTAGACACCATCTATCAGTTACAGATTAAGTCATTAACATTTAACTCAAACTTTCATAATTTACTAAACAATAAGTCAATGAGGACGCAACAAAAAAAACAATGAAAAAAACGTATCAATTGATTAGTAATTTTCATTAACCAGGTCAAATATGATATCCATCAAACTTGGTGGTAAGTTATCTAATCAAACTGACATTAAACAATAACTTCACAGTTACCCTAGTTTATTACATGTTTTGCAGTAGATTACTGAATTATAACGGTTAATTATATTCTGATAATTTCACAGTAATGATTACCAAATATAATTTCACAGTAGCCGAACTATATTTGGCGTAAAAATAAAATATTTATCATTAATGAATGTTTTTTTCAGCGGAAATGTAGTCAATCATAATAAAAAATGTACGTGATAACTGTAGTTCGTAAATATTTACGAACGTTGTGCTGAAAAACATCTAAAATCTAAAAATAATCATGGAATTATATTTTGCTTCAACATTGTGACGTCATTATTTGATGACGTCATGAAGATAAGAGCATGACGTTACGCGGCAAAAATCAGTAAAATGGTGTAAAAATCGTTAAAAAATCATGAAATAAACAGAAAATTTGTTTGTTTTACATGTAAGATCAAATAATATTTCACTCGTGAACCCCAGCTATTATATTTTCACTCGTGGCTACGCCACTCGTGGAAAATATTGCATCTGGTGTTCACTCGGTGAAATATTTTTCGATCTTACACTGAAACAAACAAATATCCTCTATATAATGTGATATTTAATATAATAATATTTTATTGCATATATTAATATATATCAATTTTTACAACAACATTTCAACACAATATACAAAAAGAGTCGGGCCAAAACTTTTTGCAATATTATTATGGGCTCTCCCCTGCTTATATATGTGATATAACAATGTATTGTATTGATTCAACAGCTGAACCCTTCATTACAGGAAAGTTTCTAGTGTGTTTATTAACTTATAGCTATACAAGCAGACAAAAATAAATTCTGTATAAACTTATAGATCAATTAAAATTGTGTTAATTCAAGGAGACAATAGCACTGTCCCTCAAGACACAGCATCTATGAGAGACGAACATGTTTTGTTTTTATTTTATAGGCACATTATGTCTCGGAATAAATTATTTCTTTTTTCAGCAGACAGGACAAATATTGGTTTTATAATGTAGTTATAATGGATTGCGAACATGTAAAATGTTTATCACTTGACGAAAATGGTGTTGAATGTGAAATAATTTGTCATAAAGGTAGCAAAACAGTAAACAAAGTAGTATTTTGACTTCCATATAATACACTAAATCACTATAACTGTACTCATTTCTTAAACACAAAAGAAACAAAGATGTCTCAGCTATATATCCAATGATTAATTTTTTTGGAAATTCTTACAGGGCACTAAAAATTATAAGTTTTTTGAACTAGAACTGCCACTATCATGGCGTGAATACCCCCGCATACCACTTTGTCAGAATCAACAGTTACCATTTAGAGCTCAAGAACAACCTCCCTGCCAAATCTGAGGTTACTAAGCCAGTGCATTGCTAAGTTATGTATTCTACATGCTTCAAATGTGAAAATGTCAAAATCAATACATTGCGGACAGGACATTCTTTAGCAATTGAGAAGAAAAGCTTTTTTTTTGTCAAGGTCCCTGTGACCTTGACCTTTGACCCAGTGACCTCAAAATAAATAGGGGTCACCTTATAGTCATGATCAACATCCATGCCAAATATGAAGACTGTGGGTCAAAGGAATCATAAGTTAATGGGTGGACAAACTTTTTGAAGTCAAAGTCCCTATGACCTTGACCTTTGATCCAGTGACCTCAAAATCAAAAGGGGTCATCTACTAATCATGATCAACATCCATGCCAAATATGAAGACTGTGGGTCAAAGGAATCTAAAGTTATTGGGCAGACAAACTTTTTGAAGTCAAAGTCCCTGTGACCTTGACCTTTGTCCTGGTGACCTCAAAGTCTATAGGGGTCATCTACTAATCATGACTAACCTCCATTCCAAATAAGAAGACTGTGGGTCAAAGGAATCTTAAGTTATTGGGCGTACAAGCTTTTCGAAGTCAAGGCCCCTGTGACCTTGACCTTTGACCTGGTGACCTCAAAATCTATAGGGGTCATCTACTAATCATGACTAACCTCCATGCCAAATATGAAGACTGTGGGTCAAAGGAATCTTAAGTTATTGGGCGGACAAGCTTTTTGAAGTCAAGGCCCCTGTGACCTTGACCTTTGACCTCAAAATCTATAGGGGTCATCTACTAATCATGACTAACCTCCATGCCAAATATGAAGACTGTGGGTCAAAGGAATCTTAAGTTATTGGCGGACAAGCTTTTTGAAGTCAAGGCCCCTGTGACCTTGACCTTTGACCTGGTGACCTCAAAATCTCTAGGGGTCATCTACTAATCATGACTAACCTCCATGCCAAATATGAAGACTGTGGGTCAAAGGAATCTTAAGTTATTGGGCGGACAAGCTTTTTGAAGTCAAGGCCCCTGTGACCTTGACCTTTGACCTGGTGACCTCAAAATCAATAGGGGTCATCTACTAATCATGACTAACCTCCATGCCAAATATGAAGACTGTAGGTCAAAGGAATCTAAGTTATTGGGCGGACAAGCTTTTTGAAGTCAAGGCCCCTGTGACCTTGACCTTTGACCTGGTGACCTCAAAATCAATAGGGGTCATCTACTAATCATGACTAACCTCCATGCCAAATATGAAGAATAAGGGTCAAAGGAGTCTTAAGTTATTGGGCGGACAAGAAAAAACCGACGGACGGCCGGACGGACGGACGGACAAGCTGATTCCAGTATACCCCCCTTACAACTTTGTTGTGCGGGGGTATATAAATAAAATTCAGAGCATTTCTGAGGCTTAATGGGCCTTTAAATGTTGTGTTGATATGTAACAGGATCCTACCTTTGACTTGCTGCTGTCAAGATACCAGAACTTTACATGTCTCATACCTACAGTAACAAAGTATGAACCATCTGCCGAAAATGATACTGCAGACACCTGTTATATATATCAGTGAGAAATAATGTAAAAACAGGCATTCAATTCTATAAAAATTTACAGTTCAAAAGAATGTAAACATTTCTCACTAAAACTGAAATAGTGTTGCTAAGCAGAGGTTGCACTTAATTAACCAACTATAGCAGAATTGTTGAGTGATATTTTTAAGCATAAAAGTTGAAGATATAAATAAGTCACGATAAATATAGATTTGTATAAATGTTTAACTGGAGCTGATCATTGTATTTACTAACAGTTTAACAATGTTTTTATATAAGTCAAACTTAAATTTGGTAGAAGGGAGGAGAGATTTGGGAAGATATAGATGATATTGAATGAGTGTAGGTTCAATACTGAATTTATTTACGAGTTGGTAAAGTTATATCATACGAGACTCTGGCGACCATTTTAATATTTTAAACAAGGATTTCAATAAAGAAATGAAGCTACACAAATATAATATCCTGTTTATAACAAACCTAAAATAAAGACCGTTAAGAGGAAAAAAGAATATTTTTTCATTGAAGCGCCTACAGTGTAACGATAACATTTAGCATGTCTTCAAGCTATGTTTGTACAACACAAATGACATTAATTTAATAATATATGCACAACCGAGCAATATCATTTTTAGGGAGATGCAAAAGCATGGGAGTATGATAGATAAAAATAATTTATAATTCACCATTTTATACTCACCTTACTAGATACTTTGTTGGATGCGACCTTTGACCCAGTCCTCCAGTTCCATACATTGACCTGCATGTCATGTTGAGTACCAATAGATACAATATACTTCAGATTGGGCGAAAATGCCTGAAAATATACAAACATTTCAAGAAATAATATTTTTATTGTCAATCAGAAAGATAATGTATGTATAATAGCATCCCTGAACAGAAATATTGCACACACAATGCATGTCTTGTTTTTATTGTTTTAATTTTTTTGTCCCTGTTATTTAAACTATTGGATGTGTGCAAAAATGAATAAAATTCATAAGGAATATTACATCAATGTGCTATTCTGAGGGTTTGTATCACTTGAGTTGATTGTATTTTTACAAGTCTGTATGCTTAGTGGGAATAAAACTTTATGCAATCAATGCTGAATATACTTTGAAATTTTCCCTAAAAATAACAAATGGTTTAGTCCATATCTAAAGATGGACAAGTCCATTTAAGATATCTAGCAAGGCAAGGGTTAAATGTCCCTGGTGCCAGAATTGAACCTACAGCACTAAAGGGAAGGTAAATATCATCAGAACTGTGATCACTGAGCCATGAAAACTTCCTGCTTCTAATGCAACATTGTATATGACTCTAACTGTTAAAACCTAAGGCTTATGTACAGAAACAGTGCACAATTTACACTTATAAGTAAATATTTTGGACTATAATTAGAGTAGATTTTAGATACAACTCACACTGCCATTAAAAACATACAATTTTATACTATGTATAGATATAAACCTGGGACAATATTACACTGTTTATTACTTTATTACCTTTGTAAAGTTTATGATTCAATAGAAAAACAGCCTTGTTCAAATTTTTATGTTTCAACTGACCTGCAATATCTCCTTTCATTTTACATCTAATTAAACTTCATAAAAACAAACTTATAAAACCATTCTCCCATTTTCATTAGGAGGAAATAACAGTAAAAATATTTGGCTGTTTTTGTTTATTTTGACAAGGTGAATTTTAATAAGTTAACATTGTTAAATATCTGTTTAAAACCTAGCGCTCATAATTAATCGGCTTCTGTTCATTATTTCACGTCACATGCAATCACTTATCTTGCAAAATGACAAAACTTCTTAAAATAGATTACAAACTTTTTTTGTTAAACATAGTCTAGTCAAAAGTTACATTTGACAGTTATTTGAATCTATAAACAATTTGGTTCAGTAACTTCAGAATTATATATATAAATACATTCAGCAGATAATATACACAAACATTGAAAGTGCTACAAAAACATAGAGTTTGTTGCTATGTCTTAAATATTCTTTTTCTTCATATGAATGTTTATATTTATAATTTTAAGGTGGAAATTTTCACTTTATTGTATTAGTTATAAAGATACCTGGCAGGTTATATCGGTTATATGGCCAAAATAAGCTTATATAACCTGAGCCACAAGCCATGTGTTATATTGAAAATATGGCATAATTAAGTGTTAATACATGACCTTATGACCTGTCAGAAATGTTTTTATCAAAATGTATTTATTAATTTATTAAAATGTAGCACAATTCTTTAATTTCAGGGAAAAGAAAAATTACATTTAGGCTATGAAAATCAACAAAGACTCACAGTATTATAATATTAGTTATAAAGATTGTTGACAGGTTATATGGCCCTTTATAAACGGCTGTTTGTAAATATAACCCAAGCCACCAGGCGAGGGTTATATTGCAAACAGCCATTTATATAGGGCCATAGAACATGTCAGGAATCTTTATAAAGAATTTATAATACAGCAAGCATCATTTTGTTTAGAAAAAGTAAGATATCTTCATAAATCGACAGCAGCCGTGTATATAAATCTATATACAAGTCACGATTATCAAATGAAAAGCGACGTTACAAATGGCAGTATTATAAGTAATAGAAAGAACATCGAAACACGAGGCTATCTGATTTATACGAGGGGGCGTAGCCCTCGAGTATTAATCAGATTGTCGAGTGTTTTGATGTTCTTTCTCTTTTGTATCATAGTCAAACATAAAAACACGTTCCCTGTTGTCACAATATGAAACCCCGGAGAAAAGTAACCAATGAACGAGCATCTAAATATGACATTTGTGTCGCGCCGTCACAATATGTAAACCCCAACAAAAATGAGCCAATCAATGGGCATGCTCTGGAGTGCGGGTAACTAATACCTGCACTCCAGTTAACGCACGGTGCATGTATATGTATACGATTTAACTCGGACACATTTTCAACAGAAAGGTCCCCAAACTATGATACAATACGTTATATATAGCACGTTTCTAAACTTTACTGGTATAGAAACACCAAGAGGCACTTCCCTGCACACATGAGTAGAACCATCAACATACAGGCAAGCAGTTGGATAACTTAAAGAACACTCATTGACACAGTAAATACGGAGAAAATTGTTCCAAAACATAAAATATATAATAAATATATACCACACAGCTGATGCCAAACTTGTGACCATGAAACTCTGCAACCTGCGTTTTTTCTGCTACGTCCCATACCCGTACAGCTGGTTGAAAACCACTCTGTCAATACATGAAATAAATATTTACATAATTATTCATATGGTATGTTTATCTATAAAACGTAAAATTTACAGTAACATGACAGATTGACACAAGTTGTAAGCTAGACATTTTTATTTCAGTTTAAACAACTCATTTTTGATAAAGTCACTAGGAAAATATCTAGGTCTGAGGAATTTTGACTGAAGTTTTCAAAAATACAAACCAACATTTAATATGTTGGATGGCCTAACTTTGATACAGCAAGATGGAGATCTGAGGATTTTAACAAGTGATGACAAGGAAAGATTTATTTCTGTTTTATATAATGTAATCAACTAAATGCCATCCTGAAATGACCAAAATGTGATATAAACATTAAAATAGCCATGTACCAACTAGATATTGACATCCAATAACACTCTAAATGTAAGATTATGAGTTCATAAAAAGCTGTATAAATAGCAAGGTGACCCATAACATATTGTTGCAGGTAAAAATGAAACCCCTGAAAGGGTTATGCTTTTACTAAACAAAACAAAATTTCTTTTAAAATACAATAAATTAAGTAATGTTATGAAGAGTAACTGAAAAATAATTTTAATCAGCTGACTATTTCATCATGTTAGTCATACAGTTATGTTTATAGTAGTAACACTTTGAGCACTTGATACATTAAAACACCAGCTATTACATTAGTTAATTAGACCATATTTGAACTATAAAATCTTGTTTTATACTATGAATAATGAATGAGACCTGGCGCTGGACTGTTCCTTCAAACAACCAGACTGTGAGTAGTAAAAACTATGGTAGGGTATTACATGTAATTGTGAAATAGTTCTTCAAACAAAAGGTTCAGTTTACAACTCTAGCTGTGTTTGAAGTCCAGGCTATATAAAGTTGTATTTTATTGCCCAGAATGTCCTGTTTTTTTTATATAACCTCTTTAGATCTAGTATCACATATAAACATGACAAACATAGGTCTATTTATTTCATTTTGTCTTTTTTTTATGTAAGGACCTACATTTGGAATTGCTGAAAGGTTTTTTTAGTGGTCTTTTTGTTGTTTTTTTCTAAATAGAATATTCTATTTGAATTAATTTATATAAATATACTGTTGATGTTACATAATCATTTTTTTCATGTTAAAATACAATTTAGAATCACCAACTTTAGTTACAATATAACAAAGCCTATCAGCTAACAGTTCAGATGAATTTGACTGCACATATAAATAGTAGCGACATTATAACCGTGCCATATACATGCTCTCTCAACTTATTGTCACATTTTGCCACATGTTTGTGCTTTTGTATTTATATTGATGCTTTGTCAATGGCCCTTCTTAGGGCTTTAGTACAAATAAAATTTCTTCTTCTTCTATTAACAGGCTAACCTCTAGGTACTTTACTTGTAACACCTGCACAGTGGTTTAGTGGTTACACTGTCTGACAACAAATCAAGGGATCATATGCTAACTATTACTTTTTTTCATATGAAGCTCTAAAACCAAGGTCATATTAAGTGATGCTTTACTTTCTATATATAAACTACTTGTAGCGGTCAGAAACCCTTGCAGGCAAATCACTCTAGAAGAGAGTAATCTTATTTTTTGAAGGATGTAGTAACTGCAGAATTTATCTTGTTTTACTCTATCATTACTTATTCAGACTTAAATTATCTTCTATTCTCACACGAACCAAATTTTTCCCTATTGAATAAAGAAGAACCCAAAGTGTGTGTTATTATGCAATAAAATAACTGTTTGACATTCTATATTTAGACTAAGACATGTGACATAATCATTATACATGTGATGTAACCACTAAAAATTTGATGCGCTGAAAATACACAAACAAATCAGGTGCAATTCAGCTTAATATCAGGTACAGCAGAATTTATTTGTTGATGTGTTAGAATCGAAATAATATATCCAAATCGTTGATTTTATTGCTTGATATATTAACATCACTGTTTGGATGCGCATCATTATATCACTTGGGCTACGCCAAACAGTGATGTTATAGAGCGATAAAATCACTGTTTTGGATATATTTTTTCTTAAACATTTAAAGGATCAAGCAGATATATATAATGATAAAAATACTGGCTTACCTCCCCTGTGACAAGATGTTTACCATCACTAGAGAATGCCAGGGACGTGAGAGTCTTCTTCGACACATTGAATATATGACCCTGTTTGTTTTTCTTGGGGTTATATAACACCACCACACATCTAGAAATATATATATAATTATATATATCACCATACATTGTCTATAAATAACTCTATATTCATAATTATAAAATATATACGCTGACAAATTATAATACATATATAAATTGTAGATACAATAATTAATTTGATAAATTCATGATCAGCAAATAATGTTGTGATGCCTCTAAGCTATAAATAATTGTTTTCATGAAAATGTCTTTATTTGTACAATATACATAATATCTGCATTAACCCAACCCTCTCTTTAGATCTTAAATAGATTTGTCCATCTTTAAATCAGGACAATTTTAACCATCCATCATTTACAGGGTAAATTTTAATATAAGAAATGTCTTTATAGCAAACAATGCAGACCAAAGTAGGTGATGATCAGAAGGCTTGGATGTGCTCATGAACAGACTCAATCAAACCAAGCCTGCAACATTTTGTCGTTTTGGACTTTCTATAGGGATTCCTATTTTCTCTATTTGGTCACATGGGTAGATTCAGTTGCCTCAAGCAGTCTTAGGATTAAAGTGTACTTCATGAAAGTCATTAAGCCAATTATCATGAATTTTGACACTGACCATAACATTTGTGTTCCATCAATTTAATAATACAGAAAAAAACAAGGCTACTATAATATGTTTTTATGATTGTTTAATTACTTTGCTAGCACTTTATTATGTTTATATCATGAAACAACATGACAAAACCTGGGGGATACATATGTTACAACAGTCATTTAGATATATATACATGTGTCATCAATGGTGTTTCTATCTGACTCATAATAAACGGCATGTGCTTAGTCGTTTTGTCACTAAAATCAAAATTACCTGATATATTCCTATAATAATCTAATAATGACAACAATATTTTACATGGGTACAATACTTCAAACTCAACTAAACTGTCAAAAAGAAAGCTCACATTTGTCACCAATATCTGACCAGCCTTATTTCAAACAAATTACACCACCTCTTTACACAACCTCTCTCTACAGTACTGTACCATAGAAAATCCTGCTATTACATCGATATCAATTTGTCTTAAAACCTAGCATACATACACTGTTTCCCTTCCATGACTTGAACATAAAACAACTACATCCATTCTTACCGGACCAACAACTTACACAGACTAGATACCATGGCAAGTTAAACCATTTAAGTTCCATCCTCTTATTTATAAAAAAAATAATTTACTACGTATTTTCTTAAATTACAAAAACAGCTGCCACAGGACAAAAAAATTATACAACTTTGTTTTATACATTATCTGGATTTTTTGAGGCAGAAAAAGTTTATTCAGAAGGTTACATCTGTACATTGATTACAGATTTCTACAAGAAAAGCATTGATGCAAAGCATCAAAGGGCATCCAAGCAAGAATATGCAGCAAGTGAAGATGAACTAGTAGACATATGATGACAAGATATTCTTAAAAACTTTTCAATGGTTAATTGGTTTTTACCAGAATTGTATAAAAGTTTATTCAGGAGGTTACATCTAATTCTATACACTGATTAAGGATTTCTATTATTTTCTTATTTTGTAGCAAAAAAAATCCCCTGTAATCCAAAAATTTCAGTCGACCATAAGTAAAATCATTGGCCGTGGGTACATTTGTATAGGGCAGGTATTTTATGACTTACAGTGCATGTCTTTATAACATTAAATGTAGAAATGCAACCAACAAACCCTGTTTTATTGCATTAACTAGACAAGACGCCCCCTACCATACAGTTGAAATCAGTAATTTAACTATACAATATGTTGCCTGACATTTTCCTACAATACAACCCAGGTATAAAACCTTCATATAATAGTAACAGATTGTATCTTAACTAGTCTGTTTTGTAAATATAAAAACATGACACCAATTTTGAGGTATAAAACTGAAAATATACCTATCATCACAAATCTATTATACTGTAGGTAAAAAAACTAATTCAACCACAAAAAACTTGAATATATAAACATTTATGTATCATTATTCACACAGTATGATTTTAAGGTAGACCATGTTATACTGCCAACATCACTAAGATTTGAGACTTAATATAGTCTGCTTTGAACATTAATGTTGCCTCTTGTGGATGAGGGGATGCCTGTATTGGTTGAGGCATCCGAATTGTAGCCAAAATTTAACCCAGTGTGATCATAAGAGGCGAGCCGCAACTAAATGGGTTCAAATTATTGGAGTCTTAAAACTGTCCTGAGATCCAGCAGGTGAGGTGGTTTTGACTCCGGGACCAGGTGTTGCTTTGAATTTGTAACAATCAAAGTTAGCTAAAATCATCTTTCCTGATTCGGCACCATGTGACCTAAATTGTGTTGGTGCACAGTAAAACCTAACAAAACAATACAAACATTAATGTTAATGTATGAAATTTCTACATTAAAGACATTTAAGGTACATTTTATACCACTATACATGTAATTATAAATATAAGTTTGCACTATGAAGATATGCAGGTTGTATGTCCACTGTCCAGCGTTTAGTGCCTAAAATATTTCTTTTAATTTCTTTAAATTTTAATGGTGAAACAGTAGCCAGTTGATTGACAGCTTGCATTACAAGATTTAACATTGAGAATATGATGGGTTGAGTCAGAGACATTATTACAGATAATGAGAGGAAAAACTGAAACAATATCACAAAATAATAGACAAATTATACATATTTATGGTAAACTAAACCCTGTGATCGCTGGGTGTTTTTGTGTGCTTACATCAGTTTATATAATAGTAGCAGAGGCAGATTTTCCATATCAATATTGTTAACAATAAATGTAATATCAACATGAAAACAAAAATCAAACAATACCAGGACATTAACACCTGTTTCAACCCAAAATCTGGATAAAAACAACTGTTAACTAATGTTAACTGGTTGTATGACTATAGGATCAAAACTGTTCTTTAAGAATGTTAATAAACCAAGTTACTATCATAATTATTCATTCACAAGGGCTAAGTAGACATTTCATATACAGAAATATCTGTTAAAGGGTCCGTTGTCAAGCACCAATGTGGTAGTCTCAACCCTATTCCTTATTCTACAAATTTACCTTTGTATAGAGAAGGCCGAAGCGGTGGTTAAGGTGTTTACATGTCAACCCAGGGATCAAATGGGTCCTATTGACTTAAGTCACAACCATGTTTCTTCATATGACATCAGTACTGGTTTATCCCAAAAGCGGAAAAAAGAGCTTGTTTCACAAGTGAGCTTAAATAAATACCGATATGTTTAAACTAACCCCAATCATTTTGTACACAGTTACATGTTTTTTATTGAAACTAAAATGTTGACTTCATAACAAAACCTTTAGACTTAAACGAAAGTAAGAACATATGAAAGACGATTTAAACTAACTTGATATTGAACACTGGACATTGGCTTTGTTGTAGGGATAAGAATCTATCACTCAATGATTCAATGACTCCCCAATACCCTTATAAGGTCTGCACACAGATTTACACTTGTTTAACATGACCCTTAGCTAGTCCAACTAATTGTACTGCGCATTGAGATATTGTGCTATTTTCGTGTCTGGGCAATATCTCACCTCTAGCGAGATTCTGCCCCAGAACAAAAATATCTCAGAATCAAGCTTTGGCACGTCAATATATTTTGACTAAACCCTTAGCCTGCCGGTGCCATACTACCCTCAGTGCAATCTAAGATTGGCCACCACATCACAGCCGTTTAGTCTTGGTCTGAACTGTTCACAAATCAGCCAGTATTTTTGTCCAAAACAATGATGAATGGTTTTGTCCAGTTTGTAAGATGGACAGGTCCATTTTTGATATTTTGGGTTATCATGGTTTTCTTTCATTTCAGTTATCAATGTTATAATGGCAGAGAAAGATGTGTACATAAAGCAGACTTTAGAGGTGGTATTTTATCATTTTACCTGCCACTTTAATAAGGTGAACACCATTATCCCTATCAGTTTGTCTATATATTCTACTACCCCCTCTTATAATTCACCATGATAAATCCCCTCCAATTACGAGCTAATGAGGCTATTTTATAGCTTTATTTTGGTGTTGTGTTCTAGAGTCTATCACAATCAGGTGATAAACAGGTCATATATCTACTATGAAGGTAAGACATAATTAACTGACCTTATTACAGGTATATATAGGAGGATTTAAATCTGGACATTAGAGAAGATACAATGATCTCATCTGTTGGGGTATTTAGGAAAAATGGACCATGAAAATATAAGCTGCTTGATATAACATCACCTTAAACTTATACTAAATTACTCTAACAATTATAAAACATAAATACTTGTAACAGAGTTATGTAACTTTTTTTTCCAGTTTGAATTTCTGAGAGGTATAAACAAGACAGCCCTGGGGATTTATGACATATTGATCCAGAAATATGACTAAAACCAAACAGTGGAAAACAGATATTTATATAGACAAAAATACCTTCATCATTTCCGACAGGGAAATTTACCTAAATACACAATAAAAAAAAACCCCTCTATACCTCAACAGTATAATGATACAAGAATTTATATCTGAAAAAATTGTTACATAATACTCAACAAAAAATATATCATAAATTTCTGTCATAATCATATCATAATTATTTACACACATGTATCATATGTAGAGAAATTAGCCTAGAAAAACTCCCTCTTCAGTGCTGCACTGTTTAATTGACAGTTTATAGGGCGTTTTACAAACACACAACATTTTTCCTTTATCATGGCTCTATTTTTAGTGGAGGTATAAAAACTGGAGAAATCATAATTCATATTTCACTGTAAGATGTCATGTCAACAATTTAGTGCAATGGTTTTATCATGTAAATTTATCATTTATCATCCAATATAAACAACTCTAAATAAACACGACCTAAATAATTCACTTTTTGTGTTGCTTTTTGTGCAAATTTTATGTTTCATGCATCTATAAATTCGGATAAAATAAAATTATTGGGCGCAGCATGTATTTTAAATAATATACAATGGCTATATATTGAAGATAACA